CTATCTCGTCTAGACAGCCTGACTGACTGTATGAAACCGGCCCACACATTTCCAGTGCATTTATCAAACTGGAATTCATAGTAACTAAGTTGATCATGGTTGATAGGTATAAAGTTCCAACGTTATAAAGAAAAACGTTACTACGGTTATTTAATCCACTAAAAGCTTGGCCTTTAGACATCAAAGATTTCAGATTAATGGGCCTTCATAAAATGTTAGATTCCATTATCCACCACACAATCTCTATCTTTTGTATATTACTTATTATTAAGTTTGCCAACAGTAATGTTGATTAAGTAGGAAAAAATGATACGCAAATAGTGTCGTGCAATTAATTATAAAACGACGCAATCAGTGAAGGATAATCACACGGAATATGTTTTGAATAAGATATTTTAGATATCGTATGTAAATTCAACGACACTCGAAAACATCTAACGTTAAAAACTTAGCAGCTTAGTTAGGAAGCGGGTTAAATACATAGTAATTTCAAGTGTTACGTATTACAAACGAGTAAACAGCATGTCAAAAGTTGTAGTCATCGTGACTGGAGGCTATACCATGGTTCAAAGAAACTTTGCAATCGACCAATGTAACACGAGCGTGGTCCAGATCTAAATGTCCTCAGTCGGGTTGGGGCCTACTTTCAGAAATGTCAAAGCGAACGGGAATTGGGAACGTAGCATGCCCTAACTTTAGCTATTTCCTATACTGGCCTGTTTATAGTGCATTGCAATATGTATCTATTTTGTAGCAATTAGTAAAAAAAAATTTTTTTAGCAGTATCGTGATTCGCGGAGTCAATTTGAGAACAGAACCGTAAATTAATATTGATACATTTGAAGCGTATTAAAAATATGCTTTATTTTCTGGTTATGCTGACAGCGAAATTACAAGTTTTAACTAAGATTTTTTTCCTAAAATAAGTATTTAGGTACAACAAAAAGATATTTTACGACTAGATTTTGCCCGCCCCAGTTAAAACATATTTGCATTTATGACCAACGCATAAAAATAACTTAGTTATACCAGTTATACTTAACTAACCTGAAAATTTGGTATAGGTTTCCCATACAAAGTTGAATCCTCCACAGGTTTAATTTTGTGATAAAAAGAAACCTAAGGTCCCAGCATGAAATCATACATAACAAACAAACAGATAGAGCCCAGAGTTACTTTCGCATGACTGTGCTTTTTCATCGAAGTTCTTAATTAACGGACGAGTGCTTTAAAAATGTTAAAAAGTATGTGTAAAATGTAACTGGTGCGAATATTTTCAATGCAATGCGCGGAGTCTGCACAAGTTCATTCCGAGTGCGTCGTATTGTAGAGATATTGATCAGCGGTTGCGCATTATGTAAACGGCGTTATATCATGTGAGACGCGGTGCGATAAAATTTTGGCCAGCTGCAAGTGAATTAGGGTCAAATTTGAAACTTCTATGATTCAAAATTACGAGTAAATTAATAGACTCTGCATTTCAATTCAATATGTAATCAGTCGACTCGATTATCAAAATTGAAAACGTTATCTGCTAATTAATATCTTGTTTTTGCTGTTTGTTAAGTAAAATAAATATTGATAGTTTATATCACATTTGAATAAATAGTTGTAGAATAAATATTTATTTTATGATTTCCATTACTTCCTTCAAGGCTCTTGTCGCAAATGAATTAAATAACAGAATCATAAATGGTTTTGCAAAGGCTAATCTTGTGAAGTTTCACACCGAAACAATTCGCTTCAGAACCGTCATATTTGTGCAACTTCTACCAAAAATTTGCTACAGCGTTATGCAAGAGTCGATAACGCCTATCTCCCTTTTGGTATCGTCTGTTGCTCCATGTTTCCACTGTTTTAACTGCAGATAGTACAACCCAATTAATGTTCAAACATTACGTTTTCAATTGAAAAAGATTTGAAATTACCTTGAATCAATTGAAACGCCCTATCAATGATGAATTGGCGTGTAATAGAATTTCGTAGTATTTGATTGTAAAACGGAACATTGTCTATGATCCTATCTACAACTGTTATAAAATCATGCGTTTTCCTATATGATGGATGATTAATATTATCATTATTCAATGATGTGTGTAAAGCAGTGTTGTTCAATCTTTACGTGACGCGAGCAAAATTGGTAGAGTTGCTTTACTTGATCGATTCGGTGCAACGAAAATCTTACTCGTTGCGACTTTTATTATCAAACAACCGCAACTTTCGTTCCGTTGGCTCGAAATGAATTTAAAAGTTCATAACTGGCAACTGCACCGTTTCCGTTTGTGTAAAGCAACAGAAATGAGGCCGGGGCGTGAGATAACGAGCCGCAATAAGTGGTGTACATTACAACTACCCCAAGCCTCTGTGGCTACTGTTGAGTTTGCCCTACCTTCAATTTACTATCTAGCAAAAGCTTAAGACCAATTCTGTGGAAAATATCCAGAACACTTTTCCACTTGTTACTTACATACAACAGCCACTGTTTATAAAAGAAGTGTAAAATTTCGTTAAAATGAAGTCATGGTCATGCCTATAATTAACTAAGAAACACATGTGGTGAACGCCGAAAAAGTTGTATTAAATGTTAGGCACGTTCCTTTAGACTCGCATCATCCAACTGAAAATAGGTAGATCCGTCTCTACGAAGTTTCGTACGTGAGTAAAAAATTCATGAGCTAAGTTTTCTTCCTTAAGGGGGTCCTGCACAGAATTCTTAAAATTGACATATTTTTAAATCACGAGTGCTCTGCGATTAATGGCTTAAATACATCAAAGGAACTTGTGTAGGGTAGCCCAATCCTTGATCTAGGTCGCCGCCTTTTCGAAATTTTAAATAAATACGTAAAAAATTGATAAACTGATAAACAACATTTAAAATGGAGACGTATGGAAATTTTATTTCTTCGAGAACTTTGTTAATTTAACGTATGAAGCAATAATTCTTATATGGAAAAAAAAATTCGGGCGAAGGACTCGTGACAGTGAACATTGCTCATATTTGAAGTAATGATACTTTGTGCTTATGTTGAAAGTATCGTTACTTCTACGAGGATACACAGCAACTCATGCGTAGTTAGTAGGACAAAGGTGTTGTTACTCCCTCGAATATTCCGGTGTTTTGTTACACGTCAACTAAAAGTGAGGAAAATACGCAGAAAAGCAGTCAAAGTAGAGCTGCAGCCCTATTTAAGAGCACGAGGCAGGAGGAAACAGCCCCCAGCGCGCTTATTAACCTGAGTTCATTGCAGGGACGTGCAATCACGGCGGAGGAGTATTGTCACAAACATACCGAAAGAGGTCACAGCTACGAAACAATACCCAGCCACTTTTCATATGCCGTTTTACTTTTAAGTGTATTGCTATACAGCGATAATCTTTTGGAATGCTTATCACTGTTTTGTATTCGAAGATAGTTCGCAAGAATTTTCAACTAAAGTGGAATTGCAAAAGATTGTAACTGTTTAATTCAATTTCTATTCCAAAACATCTGTGCGGCGCGGCGGACCAAATTACAAAACATTATTTAAGTTGCAAAAACGCTACACGTGTTAGCATAATATTACAAAAAAATAATTTTAAAGGTCATATTCTTGAAATCGAAAACAAATTGTTATAAATAATTTATTGCTATCTTGTCTTAAGAAATAGCGAGTGTTAATAATTTTAGATTATTNAGATTATCGTTACATTTTATGCTTCAGTACGACACGACGCCTTATTTAGTTGCAACATGTTATTAGTTATTCTCATTTAGTAACGCGCGCTTGGATGATATCATTCTCGCCGTGATTCATTAGATTCTTTTGAGGTACCTGTTTTGAGTACAAACACTTCTTTGATTTATACCTATTCATATGTACGAGCCATAATTTTAGTTGTAAGTAAAATACATACATAAAGTTAGTATCACCTTGAGTGTCATTGACTTAGGTGGCATCATAAAAGAGTATTTTTATAAATTATAATACGAGTATATTAAAAATACCTGTTAACGAATCGCAAACTGACACAATTAAGATAGGTACGAGTACGAACAATGAATAATATAATATAATTAATTATTATTGTTGAGTGAAACAAACAGAAGCTAGTTTGACACTGGTTTATTTTTTCTTAATAGGTTAAATCTATGGTAAATCTATGGTACAAAAAAGTATGTAAAAGGCTTATAAAAAAGGTGGTCGTGAACAATTATTAATTTATTTGTAAATTAATTAGTGTCTGCAGCTAATAGTGCACGATTGTGCAGCAGTAATTGTTATTGAAAATATTTAATACGGTGATATTCGTATAATTATGCTAAGTAATTACGTCTACACGTGTTAAATATTTCAATGGACAATTGAGTTAAATAAATCAGTAATTAACGTCATTTATCGGCGTGGACAGTGATGACTGAAAGATTAACATATTGTAAAATTTAATGTACCTACCTAATTTGATTTAATTTCGGAGACTCTGAAATACCAATCTTTTGTATGACAAGTCTACCTGCATATCCAGCTTGCAAACAGCATAGAAAATAAAAATCTCGAGATAATGTCCCGATCTTACCCGATACAAGATGTTTGCGATTAAAAGCTTCATATCAAGTCTTAATCAAACCTCATCGGATAAACAAGCTAGAAAGAAGTCCTGCACGATTTGATTAGTTTTGATGTTTTGAATTGAATCGAAATTTTAATAAAGAATGTCTTTAAGTATCTTGCAGTTGTTACCTATAATTAATGTAGTAATTATTAATTTATTTTTATTATTTCCTATCTATTGAGTTTCCTACTTATAATTATCTAAAAAAGATACTTATTATCATCATATTTCAACTTTTTTGCGAATTTAATTGTGCTCTACTAATAGGAAAAGTTGCGTGAGCAGCCTAACACACTGTACAATGTAAAAATTGATTATAATATATAATAATTATTATTAAAATTTCTAGCGTTAAGAGTCGCATCTCAAACGAGATTTTTCAAGTAAAAAAATTGTTTTTATTCCTACAGTTCTATCAGTGAGCGCGCTGAGCGCGACAAGCGGCGTCAGCCTGGGTCCGTTAGTGCCGGAGTCAGTCCCTGGCGCGGACGAGATGGTGCAGGAGGGCGAGGGCGCGGCCGACGGCCTCATCGCGCCCCGGCGGCTGCCCAACCCGTGCCTCGAGAGCCCTCAGCGCATGGACCTGCACAGGGAACTACTCTTTAACCAGAGGATGTAAGTGTCATTATTGTAACCACCGCATTGTTCATTGCTAGCGGCGTCAGCCTCGGTCTGTCAGTGCCGGAGTCAGTCCCTGGCGCTGACGAGATACATAGCATTGTCCAGCGGTCGCGCAAGCGATGGCGCTACCAACTTTGTTGATACTTTGTGTACGTGTCTAATGTTAGTAAGTAAGTATGTACTCAAGGTAGAGTCGGTGATTGGTGTCATACAAGACGCTATGACCACGACCTTTAATGTCCCATTATCCATTGTTCAATACTAGCCACCGCTCCAATACAGAAACTTTCTAGATCGCGTACGTATACTAGTATTTAATATTCATCTATTATCATAATAATATGCACCTAATCTAACAATTTTAATATGCAGTTTCTCTATCCGCAGAGGATGTAATGTAGAGAGTTATATTGTGAACCATCTAGGGAGACCTGTACATGTATTAACTACTATAATTTGTCTGCTATAAAAATAATGCCGACATATCGTTAGTTTATAAACAAGTTTGGGCCCAGAAGGTAGATTTACTTGTTTTTCTACTCAGTCAACTGATGTCGCGTCTTGCGAGTAAAAATACGAAAGTGAATATTATTACATTATGTGCCAACTGCTCATTAAAGTCATTATTATAAATATTCACATTTATTTAATATTGAAGTAAAGATATAAACTTATAATGTACATTATTTTATTTATGTGTACAGCTGTACAAAGGTTTAGCGTTTAATTTACAAAATGTCACGTAATGTATCTCTACATTACACATATTATTTTATCCTCATCGAGGCAAACACTGGTACCTTATCAAGTTGTAATAGGTGTTATTTTGCTACAAAACTGTATAGTCTGATATGCTGTGGCTACTTACATATCTACACGTGGTTCACATTTTCTTAACGTCGTCGATCTCGTGTATTACTTTTCAACGACTCAAGCACCTGCCGTCACTTCTCTTATCTTTTGTCGTAAAGGAGCACCTCCGTCAAAGGCTTTATTGTTCTTCACACAAAAGCCTTTGGCGACTGCTTTTAAGAAAGGTTCAGCATTCTATTGGGAATCCCGTTTCTCGATTTATTATTTTCTGTGATGGTATCGTCGTCCTACTAAAGTCAATTCTTTTGTAACTATCATATAATCATAGCAACAAACGATCACAACTAGTTTTATAATAGTGTCACGTAAAATTGAGCATGCCTTCTTTAATAACAGTCTCTATGGTACATTGTATCGAAGCACGTATGCATCGAGTTTAATATTTGAACAATGACTGCTATTGGCGCCGGAATAACCTGAGCATCAAACCGAGGGTGCGTTTTTTGTCTGCATTCTTGCGAGTAAAATTGATTCCCCTGATCAAAGTTGCCGCGCCTAACTTCATTAAAGCTTGAATGTTTTAGTTAAGTTGTAGGTATACTTCTTGCTGCAGTTCCTTTGGCAATTCATCAACGCGGCATTTTTTGTAAGGATTCCCTTAACCCTTCTATCCACTTAGCAATTAGGATGTGTCATTAAAGTACTAAAATACCTGGATGTCACTAATTCACATTCTGGTTGTGTGCTGGAAAATTATTATGACATTCGGGGTCGATTGTGGTATAGTGAATATGTTTTTTTAAAGTGACTCATAATTAAGTAGGTAAATGTCACTTTCATAACCATAAGAGTCATTATACTCGTAATTTCTGAGTTACACATAATATCCAACTCTGCCTTATCAGCATTTCAACAGAGGGTTTTACATCTTAACAAAACAATGAATGGAGTGTACTGGCCTCCGATTGTTGAACCCCAGGACTTGCACCAAAAATAGAAGTCGGTTTTTGCTAGGCGTGCGTTTTGGATTCTTGGCGCACAGGTGCGCGACATCCTGCCGGATCCTGTGAACTGGCTGCAATTATCGAACATCTGTCACCTGAATGAGTTCTCCGGGGATGCGAGATGGAATGGAGTTAGCTTTGTGATGCACTTGTTAATGGCATTCGTTATTATTTTATTTTTTCTTTATTTTAATCCTCTTTCTGTAGGTGTTGTTGTCATCTTTGTTCAATTTTAGATCGAGTTTCAACTCTAGATAAATGAGCGGGTGTAACGTGCGTAGTTTATTTTACTAACTTTCCCTTAACCAGGTTTTGCTTTATAACTTTTGGCAATTTGGCGAAATTAGTCCCCGGACAGGTCCTTAATTTACCTGCGAATTACGTTAGCGTTACGACGGAATAGAAAATTACAATTGGAGTTTGTAGATTAGATACTTTGTAAAATTTTGTAAAGTCAAATTCAGTCTTCGTTAGTCTTGTCATTTCAATTATAATGACTGTCTAGTAGTCCATGCCATAATCGGACTTGCCCGTATCACTAATGAAATCTAATATTCAAAGCTTTCTCGTGACATTTATTTTCTAAAGTGCCGCGTAGTTTACTTAAGACTTAAGTAGTTCCAATAGAAGCCCGGGTAAGTCGCTTAGGTGCTCGAGACACTGGTTGTGATAAAGATAATGGTATAAGCTTTATTGCTCGGGTTCAAATTACAGAGTTCTTTTGTTTTACCTTTTACATTGTTACTTTGTTCAATTATGGAAGGAGCAGTAACGCGTTCAGAAACGTTCAGTAAATTATTTCCAATGACTCAAGAGTCACGTCTTTTTATGGATTTACCACGAGTGATGTGTTTGTTTACAGGACAATCGGTCATCAATCAGTTACTTTACCTCAAACTATCTGTGTTTAATGCACTCCTCGTGGAACCTTTATGCCGGTCCAGTTTATGTCTTTTATTATTTTGTTTTTGTATACGTAGCTACCTCGATTATAAGGTTAATAGGAAAAGTGACAGGCGTTCTAAGGTGAATAGCTTCACAATCATGTTGACCTGTTGATTCAGTTCATTTCCCCGTGAATGCGATTGTCGGAGCCATCTCTAGCTGTTATTTCCGCGCCCGCCGTCGGCCCAGAGCGGAAGGAAGCAATTCCCAGGCAGCTAACGGGAGCGCAATTCTATATAAGTGGTAGTTGCAGCAAGGCTGCTTATAGATATTCCACGGGTATATTGCTGTAGTTTGTAACATGTAAATTCATACCTTCCTGTAAAACGTGTGCAGTGTGCACGCACGTATTTAGAAGAAAAATAACCGTCTATTTTTTAAATGATAGTCATGATAAGCTTTTTGATATGCCCTGAAAACAAGCACGGTTGTTAATGTAGAAACAAGTTATCGACGATCAATGAATTTTTAAAATAGCCTGTGTTTCCATTTCATACAAATTATATGTTGTAGTAAATAATTTGCATTTTAAACTAAATATAACCTACGATCAACGATAATAAGTTAATTTAGAGTTAAACATAACTTCTGTAAAAGCTAAATTATGGTGATCAAATTTATAATTATAATTATCCTCGTACCTACGTAATTTTCATTACATTGCTCTACGTAAGTGAAGTAGTTTCTTTAATGTTAAACTTTCTTATAATAATGATTATTGTCAGCAATTATGTTTAGTACTATCATAATTATTATACGCAGGTGGAGTGATTATAAAATCGTGTTGTTCCTCGAGAGTAGGTACTTTATCTTATAATGAGTACTAGCAAGTCAAAGAAAAATGCTAAAGTAAAAAACATGCTTCATTCATCGTATGGATAGATGTTTTTAAGGCTATTGTGTGTTGTAACAGCTGAGACAACATTCACAAGGAATATTATGCGATTTCTTGTCCACTGTGAAACAGAAACAGTCTGAAATTTTGAATTCGAAGCAGCGAGTCCAGATTTTCGGAATCGATAAATAAAATGGGAACGAGACCTAGGTATATTTATTGTATCGATTTCGTAGAATCCACTTCTCGGCCCCATCGATAAGTACGAACACGTGCTAACTAGATGTTTCTTGGAAAAAGAAACCAAACTATTTTTATAGTACTTAATACTTAAAAATAACTTTGTCAAAATCAGCCACTTTGAGTATAATTTGCGGTCAACTCTACATCCTATTATGATAATAGCAAATCATATGGCCATAATTACAGAAATAACCTTGAATGAAGCATTATAACTTACTCAAACATGAAATAATATGTATCACAATATTGTTGCCTTCTATTTTGTTTGTCAGAGTAGATTACTAACAGCAGTGGTTTACCGTAAAACGACAGCTCATTGATTTGCTATTGCGGAAAGATCACGGAAAATGTCTAGTCAGGCTGTTAGTTTGCAAATGGTGTAACATTTCATTAGCTTCGTAGGCGGAGGCCGTGCTGGGAATTTGATAGTAATTAGCAGCGAGAAACGGAATTTGCTGGGGTGGTGCCTTATAGGGTTAGCAAGCGGCACCAGTGTCTTAGCACTCATTATTATTCTATGGTCTTAGTAAGACATTCAATGTGACTTTGTTTTTATGACCTCACTAACTCTTAAATAGACAACTTCGCTGAAAAACTGTGATAGCGATTTCCCTTTCAATACACATCTCTACGTTTATTCCACCACGTTGCTAACGTGAAGAACTGAACGCGGAAATGTGTGTGCTAATAAATAATGTGCATGAATTCGCGATAGTACTTAGTGCTTTGCTTAACCGGTGGTGTAAACAATTTTTTAGCTTTTCCACTCCATATTGTTGTGACCGACGTCGACCTCTGACTAAGTTTTTACGCGTGCAGTGTGTTTTTTGGAAAAAATACTTATACAATTAGATTACGCTAAGGTTAGAAGTTTGACCTGGCCAACCAGTATGATACGCAATATTTGATTGTAGCACTATATTTGTGTTTGTGACGAACCTATTATCCAAATGTCACGACTTTAGACAGGTAGACCGATTGACAAAATCTTTAACAGTGCACTTCAACTGTCATATTTACCAATTTTATTGAATTTTGTCTTAGAATTCGGGTTATTTTCATGGACGTCGACATGCTATACTTACTCGTATGCCTACCATGTCTTCACATTCATATAATTAACTGACCGCAACACCCTGTATTTAAACTTATTTTGTAAACAATTAGCAGTACGTCAAGTTGATTAAGCTCTCGTCGGGACCCGCACCAATCCTAAATGCTCCAGTGAACTTTCTGATTGCGAACCTATTTACAGTCGCGCCGCTACTGCAACGTTACGCGGAGACCGAGTAGGGAAATTAATTTTATAAACGGGATTAATTAATTTTGAGCGGGAATATTTTGGAAGCGTTCCAAAATAAGGACGCGTACACATCAGTTTTGGAGATATTTTTGACAATATTTGCAAAGTCATCGCATGGGCACTTCCTGTTTTGATAGCAACTTAGTAAGATTAGCTTAGACAGTAAATAGTTTTATTGGAATTTCTACAGGCTTAGAAACTGAAATCTAATCATTTTATCGACGAACAGGTAGTCTGGCTCCGCTTGATGATTGAGTTTAATGTTATTTTATACGAGTTACACCGATACACTATAAAACGACTTTCCTCCATTAATTTTCCAATTTAAGGCATTATAATATAAATTAAATTTAAAATGGCTAAATTGAAATGTCATAAACGATTTGAAATCATAACCAATTTCAATTATGCTCGCAATTCATTTCATAATTTACTATCTGCGCAATTATTGTCCTTATTTATTGTTATTTGGCCATTATAGGTCCTTAAAAGTTTCAAAAGGTTTTCAGGGCAAGAATAAATTGGGAAAGTTGCCTCGAAAAATTGGAAAATCTTTTACAATTATTCTTTAAACTTTTTGTTCTTTCACAATATGGTACCTACGTAAACTGTACTCTGTAACTGAAAAACTAAGTGTATACAAGCATGTTTATTTCAGCCGGAATACGTTTTACTCATACGGAATCGAAAGCACTAAACAAAAGCAATTGACGGATAAATAACGTTACACAACACATGTGCGAGGGGCAATAAAACAATGCAGTGCCCGTTGACGTCAGAGCACTAAATAGTTCACACATGCAGGTATCGGTCGTGGGAATCGTGCTGCAACAAACAATAATAACATGGTTTTGTGATTGCTTGATGACATAATTGTCTAGAGTTTTCTTGCAAACAACGTGCAAGCCACATTGTACAAGTTTTTTAGGGAGATTAGCGTCAGTTCTTGGAAGGAAAGATATCGGGTAAAGATATCCGAAAATACTTACAATCTGGTCTGTTTATTCTAATAACATTGCAAATCAGAATTGATTTAATTAAACAAAAAAATATAAATGGTAACAAAGGCCTTCCTCATCTTTATCTCTCTTCGTCATAGTTTAAACCGCCTGAAACCTAATAAATATGTCATTGTTATACAGAAAAAACGATTTTTAGTTGTTATAAATGATATTATAGAGCAAATGTTGTTATCATCACAGCAATGTCGACGATGGCCATATATGGTAGCGCGCCAGTCAATTTCAGTTGATAAGATATGCCTTCGCTACGTAGACCTTATCAATTGTGACGTTTTTTTCCATACAGAAGCATCTTTTACAATGAAACCTACTTATTTGTAATTATTATTTACAACTCAATAATTGGAATTAAAGTGTTAAAATCAATAAAGGTAATTTAAAAAATAAGGCCGCAATAACAAATCCGATGTTACGCCACAACTGTTTGAGTTTGATACCGACCTTTATTTCAGTCATTGCATAAAATACCAAGCATTCAAATAAGGTTGGTCGAAAACACCCTGAAAATTACATATATATAGGCAATTTGACTAGAAATCGTTATTGCTGCAGTATACTGGAACTACCTTCTTTGATTAACATACGAGTACTGGCAGTATCCGTTAATTTACTTTTTGCTTGATAGGAATTTCAAGGTTTTTCCAATTGTATCTTGTACAGGTTTTAGAGACATGTATGAGAGCTTTAATCAAGAATTCCATGCTAGTTAACCACAAAATCTGCCGGTTCTAAATGTCTGGTATCGCCAAGTTCACTATTGTTTCTCAAAAATGCTTAATTAAATTCCTATCTTTTTCAGAGGAAAAAATGTTCTGAATCAAAAGAGCGAGCTGCAAAAGGCGCTCTCGAAACACAAAGAGAAGCAGATCTTGAATCAAGTCCGAGAACACAGAGAAACCCCAGGTAATCTTAATTTAATATTTAGATAATAAAATAGAGATACACGAGTTAATGCGACTTAGTTTTATCTGTTGATTGTAAATTGCGGTAGGTAGGTACATATGTTTTGAACATTAGCATAGAGATTAGATTTCAGGCTTACCTATAACAAGAAACGTAAAATTGAAAATGTATCACTTCGGGAAATCATTTTCAAATCATAATCGGTTTTTCAAAAACAAGAATACCTATAAGAACATAGTAATCGTGTACTTAATGAGTTTCAAAGTTATCTGCTCAGCGACTAAGTAAACATTTTAATGCAAATACGTTTTGCAAGAACGAGGTCTCGACGAACGAGATAACCAGCTCGTCACAAAGTTAGTATGATACAGTATGAGTAGAGTGTATCGGAGGTTGTCCTTTTACCTCATAAAAATTATCTGTATTATCATGCATGTGCTTAATGCCAGTGAATGGCTAAATGAGAGCATAGTGCGATGTTAAAGTCCAATTTTATAACAGAGCATTTGCAAAGAAATCGTGTGTTGCCTTTACATCTTTATGCTCTACCGGCTCTTTGAGACAAACATTTGGTCATGCAAAATGTCCAAATCAATACTTATCGAGGTCCCGGTTGGAATTCGCGGAATTAACTCGTGCGTATATTTCAGCATTTTTGTCTCTGGTCACAATGGCGCTCGCAGAACCCGTTTGAAGTTTTTGATGCATATTCGACCTCGCTCTTTATCCGGTCATCCCGATGCAGCCAGTGCTGCGTAGATATGACTTTTAACTCTCCTTTTAAAAATTCGTGGCCCTTTTTCCTTTGTACTTAGGTATTTATTTTTTTATAAAATGTTAAGTATAATTACTTATTTAGTTGCTAACAGACGTGTTAAAATATTACATGATTGATGTACACAATATTTTTGATTGATGTTACAATTTACAAGTTCCAGCATGTTTTAATTATGAAATTATATTTCTTAGTTAAATAAATAGAGTGTTAACAATATTGCATTTTAATTACATCGGATATGTTTACATTATGAGCAATTTATTTTCTGCTCTACATGGTTAACGAAATACTTGTTTTGTATGATTTTAGTAAAAAAACATTAATGCATGTACTATTTTTTATTGTGAAAAAGTTGGTACCTATTTGTTCAAATCAAATTCAAATACAACTTGACTCGAGATAAGTGTCGTCTCGTCCGTTGAGTGACCACTTAAACTTCTGAGGTGTTTACTTAAGAACAAGTTTAACATTCGGAGGTGTTATCGATCCTTTGACAGCACTGGGTGCAGTCCGAGCTGCACAGGTGCGCGCGGCCGTTCACCCCGCGCCCAATAATTGCGCAGACGCATCCTTTTATTAATCGGCCAATATTTCCACCGGCCTTGCCAATAAATGGGACTGGTCAGGTTTAATTTAGATTCTGTGAGAGGAGTGTCGGAACATGTAAATTGAATTCCATTTTGTTATGCTTTTTATACGAGGCTTGGTAGCAAATTAAAGCGCAAGTGACATGTATTAAACTGCCAACTATTCTTCTTCTTCTATCGTGTAGGCTGTTACAATCCTCTAAGTATAATCTACATGCACATAGCGCGATTAGATCTTTTTTGTCGGGGAAAAATGCATTTTACATAGTGCTAAATATAATTTAATCTAAAGTGTACTTAAAGTTCAGGGAACTACCAGGTTGATTGAAGCCTGTAACCTTAACGAAATTGAGGACTATATCACATAAGGTGATATTATCATCACATGTTTCGTTTGTGTACTTAACCTAGCCGAAATTATCTCACAAGATACAAACTGTAGGTACTTAGGTTCCAAAAAATTTTCACGCAGTTGAAAAATAATATTGGTCTTCTTTACTTCATCATAAGATTATCTAATCTGACTTACCGACATATTCACTACATAGTTAACTTTTAACAAGAAGCTTTTTCGCATATATTTTACAAATCAGGATGGAAAACCACTAAGCAACTACATTATTTAATTTTGGAGATTGTTTTGTTTTAACTAACCATATTATTATGTGACCCATGTATCAACTAATTAATATAAGGATAAAATAATAATTGGTAATAGGTACAATACAGACGCTATCATCCAAGGTTATATGAAAGTGAAAATGTTGCCGCACTTCCCGTTGGTCCGCGGGCCAGATAGACCGAGGCGTGGGCGTGGGAGACATTAAATACGGAAACATAATACTGTTTATCTATACATACAGGGTGTCATTTTTGTACTAGATCAAACAGAAAGGGTTGATTCTTCTACTTTTCCTAAATAACCAACATCGAATTATCAAAAAAAAAGTTTGGTCCCCGTACTAAATACGGTAAGTATTACTAATAAAAAGTTACACAGTTATTGAACACTGTTTTAAAATGACATTTCCATACTAAACGTCACTTTAAAACACTGTTCAACGAGCTTGTAAGTTTTATTAGTAAGGAAGGGGGTTATTGTTCTTATAGGAAAAGTTGTGACTTTTTGTTTAATAAAGTATACATATATAAAAATTACATCCTGTATAGAACGTCCCCCAATAGTTACCTAAACCATAATTATTGATTTATAAATTGAAATAGTTTTTCCACATTACATGCATGAACACGTGAAAGCAGTACAAAACTATTGTATGCATGTACTTTACTAACTTTTTGTAGCCGCCGAACTCAAAATTTACAATACATTGCGGTTGCTTTTCCGCACGAAAAGGCATATTTTATAATGTTTTTATAAGTTTTTCCTGCCTAAAACGTCGGGTTTAATATAAAGTAATTAATAAGTTTTGCGTAAGTAGTGTGCTAATCGATAAAACATGTACACAAATATTTATTGTTATTTAGTAAACAGGATTTACGTGTGAATATAAGTTAACATTAATGTAAAATAATTACCTATTTCGTTTTTGTGCAAGTCAGTTAATTGTTAAATATGTGAATGAAAATAAAAACACACGAGTAGAATAAAGCTTTTGTAGTGCATAATATTGGTAGATTAGTTTCTAGCCTTTTTTTCATTCTACTTAGTGCTGTAAGACTTTTCAAACATATTTTGTTGCAAGTAGGTAGGTATTGCATTAAAAAGTGAAATTTTTCAAGTAACTACTAAAATTAACATAAATATTACTGACTCTACCTGCGATAAAATAGTATAATTTCTTATATTCCATTATAGGCAAGTACCTAGGTATTAAATTATAATTAGGTAAGTGTTTTATTCGTAACTTTTACTGTATTAATTTACACCACATAATTATTTGTACTCACTACAGGGAATAATTAATATAAAGCAGTATTGAAACGGAAATAACGAAAAAGTTATTTTTATTTTGTATTGTAAATGACTGTTAATGATTATTTATTTCGGAAGTTAAGTATTACTCGTATTACGTAAATACATATATATATTTTTTATATTACTCGTATGTTTATTATTGTCAAAACATGTAACGAATCGTGTTAATCAAATGATATAAGCACACGTTACTAGCTGGGGCGTGCATTGCGCTGCGTGCCCCGTTAAACTTTTATATTAAGCGTGAAACAATAAATAACTTGTAGTAAAAAAACTCAGGAATAGATTATTTTGGGGGTCATTTTATACCACCAAAAATCAATAGTTCCACATAACTCGATTACTCTTAGGCATAAAGAGATTTATAGTAGAAAAAAAACTGATTGATCCATGCAAAAGATGCGAGTGTTATCGACAATTCATTTACGCCTAAACTACTAGACTAATATTCGGTTTTCTGGTCCTTCCAGAACTAGAGCGCGCCATAGCGGAGCGCGCGCGGCGGCTCGAGCAAGCGGAGCAGAGCGGAGAGGAAGCGGAGCCGGGTACCAGTCCCGCGTTGCAGCAGATTCGGGCGCGTCTCCGCCACGCCGCGCCCGCGCCCGCCGCCTCGGCACACTAGGTAACCGGGACTTGGTAACCGGGACTTGGTAACCGGGACTTGGTAACCGAGACTTGGTAACCGGGACTTGGTAACCGGGACTTGGTAACCGGGACTTGGTAACCGGGACTTGGTAACCGGGACTTGGTAACCGGGACACGGGACACTACCTGACCGATCACGGGCTGACTGGACTCTACTCTACATGGTTTAGGTGTACTCATCACTCTCACTCCACTCTATTTTTGAATTCAGATCAACTTGACATTCAATAAACTTCATATTTTGGTGCGCGGTGGCCGTTTTTGATATAAATTGTAAAAAGCAGCTGAAAATTTGATTAGAAGTAAATCCTTATATCTTAAATCTTTCCTACGATTTTAATCTTGTATTATCGGATTGATATTGGAAAAGTGACTTCCATTATAACAAAGCAGCTATAAAAACACAAGTGCTAGAACTGCAACGTTTAGAAACCTAAATGATTCGAGTTGTCTTAGAGTTTTGATTATGTGAAGTCGGATCACTTTTCAATACTAAACCGGTACGATCGATTTAAGATGATTAGGAAAACTTACTTACCTGTAGCTGTTTATAACGGAAAATTTTTGGCTGTTTAATTGTACTTCACCGAAAATAAATTAACCGCTAGAATAATTTATAAAATAGCCTGACGTGTTTAAATAAGCGATCATCCAAAGATCTGCTCTATAAAAAGTACGTTTTAATATCGTTCTCTACCTACATGAATGATGTTCCATGTAGGTGTTTAAAAGGTGTTATTTTTGTAATTATTCTAGGATACATAATACACTCCGCCTCGTTCGCACTTAATGGTAGTAATAATACTTATGAATATTTAGGCGCATTGTTATGGTGCCTGGATCGTCTAAGTACCTAGATAATAAACCTTCCTTAAAGATTTTCATTAGTATCCAGTGCGAAATACCTAATTAACTACACGCTAAGCAAAACACTACAAGCACTGTCGTATAAATGTCAAATAAAATAAAACAGTGCCAAAGTATTTCACGAGAGTTAATAATTGCCTGAAAATATTGTAATTTTATTAATGAAGAATACCTTTATTCAGCCAATCGTACGAGAAAGTATTTTCCAGTTCTAGTCAGAATAAGCAGTCTCGAGTAATGAACATTCGTCTATGAGCCGTGTCGAGTCAAGTAGGATACTAGTTTGGTTTCAGAATAACCGAAAAATTGGTATCAGTTCATCTTTGGTCAAGTCAGCACTGTAAACATCCTCAACCATTATGCCATTAAAACTTCTCATGGACCCGTTTACATTCTTTACCATTACTCTTTTGATAAAATAGATTAAATTTCCAATTCTGTCGGCCTAATTCTAGATTCATTAACATATTTTTCTTATAAAAATCTTTTAAACGTGTAATATGTGAAGGGATGATGTCAAAACGCAATATACGGTTTTTACGGGAAATGTATTATTATGGTAACTAAATGTAGAGTTTGAACTATAATAGACAACTAGCGCCATCTACTTGCATAGATCCGTACTACCTTGTGGCGCCATCTACCTTCACTTGCCTACCAACAGAACTATCAAGAATGTAAATCGAAGTTCAAAAAGAAAAGTATAATTTAAGCATAATTTGAGGAAATGCTACGAGGCAAGCACTGTAATAGGTATTGTTAAGGTGTGTGTTGCAGTTGGTGTGAGTGATGCTTTGTTTGCCAAAGCTTGTAAGAATTATTGGTTATTTTATTATGTAAGAAATAATAGCTTTAAATCATTTTGTCATCGAAATGATGTCACTGTAAGTGTCACAAAGTATTGTATGATTTTAATTATGCACCGCGTCTGGTAAGTTTAGTTTTGTTGGTAATGACAGCATAAATTATATTAAAATCAACATACAGGCCGAAAAGAAACCTCACCAAATGGAATCCATTTAGTATGGGGCTTTTTTTTCAATCTCCGTCGCGTGCTACAGAATCGATTAATAGTTCGAAAAAATTGTTACCGTTTTAATTTATTTGAATGATCATAATATAGTATGAATCAACCATTGACTGAGGAATCGACTGCGTGTGGTATAAAAAGGGTAAACGTCGACTTCGAGCAAGAGAAAATAAATATTTTTTTAAACTTTTTAACGTCACAACTTGAAACTTCGTCGTAGAATCCATTTGTACGCGTTTACTGTTCTTGTTAAACTCCTTGGAACTTATCTAAGATAGATACTTAGAGATACCTATCGAAATAATTCTTGTAATGCATATTTTAATACAATATTGTAGAAAGTAGATAGATGTTGGAAAATTATAGAATGTATGATCTAGATATTACATTATTCATATTTTATTGAGAGTAGAAATCTTATGAGAATTAGTGCGAGTAAGTGATTGAATAAACATAATAGAGACCCCTTTATGTACACTCATATAGATATACTTATGTATACAATCCCCTCCAGTCCCCAAGTCTAAGCACCAATAAATAGTCGACCAGTATGTTTGAATTAAAAGTGTTCATGAAAGTGATAGATGAAAAATATTTTTATATATTGATGTAATTTCTGTAGACAACCTACAGTCCTATAAAGTCTAATAAAAATAGATTCCCCTTACTTTACTACTTAAATTTCAGTAGGTAAATAGAACTATAATTATTCTCTAATAGTTTTTAAATAAATAGTAATTGTGAGATTTATTGTCTACATTCTAATATTTCATTAGTCTCGGGAATTGTGGAAATGTTTAGAATCTCTGGTACTAATTATAAATAAAAATAAGCCACATATTTACTTATCTACTCAAGTCATTTATTGTAACCCTTCAAAGTTAAGACCTTGTATACCTACTTATATGTATAACTTAAGAATTCATATATTTTTTCAAAACTTATGTTCTCCATTGTGCCTATTTGTAGAGTTGTTATTTAATTTGAGAGTATTCATTATTTATGGTTGATAAAATTGATTATGTATAAAATTATTGACACAAAGATACGCAAATCATATTTTGTAAACCATTCCACTTGTTATTTTTTCACTTTGACCATTTTTTAAATCACATTTGTACCTACCTATTTCTTTTAAGTTTAGGTTATTGTTAAGTTGTATTGTATCTTAGTACAAAGTGGCGTCGTCATAATGTTTTAAGCTTTGGAAGCTAGTTACGTGGCCATTAAAGTATGATATATGACTATAGCATTTAAGAACCATCTTCGTAAAAACAGTTCGAAGATAAACTGTAACAGGATTCAATAATAATTTGCATAGACAAATAAACATGTTTTAGCAATTTGTGGATTTTTATTTTTTACTTGATTAAGTGAATGGTAGGTACCTACTTCTAGTTTTCCTCGAGCAGGGTTTTTGTGGGACGTGTAAAAGTGCTGTTTACTTAAAATCATTTCAACGTATGTGGTGGTAACGCATACCACCACATACGTTGAAATGATTTTAAGTAAACAGCACTTTTACACGTCCCACAAAAACCCTGCTCGAGGAAAACTAGAAGTTGGTAAAAGAGTTAAATTGCATCTCCCATGACATTATATTTCAACATCACTTTTGGAAATAAGTAGGTATTCATTGTGTGGTTAAGACGTTGCAGACTTCAGACGAAATAATTTTTGGGTAAAGTCTGGAGATCTTTGTGACCATAAAAAAAGATTGGATCAGTTACAGCAAATTTCATCGTGAGAAATATTATCACTTAACGCCTGTCGGTTCTATCGAGCTATTTATGTAAGGCTTGAGCATTCAAGATAATCTAATAGTAATGCGCGTGTCAGGCGTTTTATGTACTGCACGCCTAGTAAATATACATAATATTTTTATAATGTTAGTAGTATAAGCAGAGTATTAAATCAGATATGTATATGGGTCTACCTAGAGGAGATAATTGACAATCTATTTTGAAAGCTAAGATTATTTTCACAAGAAATATTGAAACCCTACCTACGTATTGGTCTCTAGATAAATTGTACATACATTAGTACATTTTTATAATGCTTACTAAACAGTATTGCAAAACTAAAACGGTTCTTCTTACTCCTAAATAGGTACTGATACCGAAGTGTCCTGTGAAAATAAAAATAGACATATTGATTGGTGCTAGTGCGGAATGTACAGAAGCACAATCAATTATTTATTATATCGATCAATCTGTTTATTTTCGTAAAGGTGTAATAGGAAGGTAATTAATTACCAAAAATGACATCTAAGTGTGTGTTGGTTTTTACTTGTTAATTATGCTAAACTGTTTACGTTCCTGATGACAATATATCAATGACGGAAGGCGCGCATACCCCGGAGGCACACGAGAAGCTATTAAATTAGCAACTACGTATACTCAAGTATTGCAGCAAGACGACCTTATTAGAATGCATTAAACAGAATATTATTGAATAATTGATCGGGGGAAATTTGTCGAGTTTTTCAAGCGTGAAGCGCTTTCGTTTTCGTAGGACGGGGAGGCACGTCTGGTGGTGGTCGGCGCTCCACCCTCGAACCTCGAGATTCATTACTCCCCCGCGGTCAGTAGCCGCCCGGTCTCCACCTGCAGCTCACGCTGCCATACGATGTTAACTGCGCGTTATCACACACTCCGGTGAACATTAACAACATGTACAAAAAAACTATTTACGTATTATTAATAGCAGTTTTGATTACTGCATACGCTACTGAAGGGAAGAAATCAAGAAGAAGTCGAAGACCTAACAATGAAGAGGACACCACACCGCAGCCTAGTGTGGTCTCATATTCTACCTTTGGATTTAATGACGTGGGATCTTACGACGGATTTGTGCCGACTTCACCGGACTATGCGAGTTATCTGAGTGATAATCAAGAATCAACTACAAGGTTGTATGCACCAGCGTTTCCATCATCTCCAGATTCTACAGGATTTAACAACAATTTTGGTTCTCCACTAGAAGGTGCATTCGGCAACAGTGATGATAGTGTACCGCAATCAAGTATGGTCCAATATCCTCAAAGTTCTGTTAGCTTTTTTAACACTCCAAGTTTTGATGGAGGTAATAGTCCAAATGCAAATTATAATGAACAAAATAGACAGAGTGATGATGACCCAACAGGCCTTGTATACGGAACCAAACTTAATTCTAAAAGCAAAAAGAATTTGAATCAATTTAATCACACCGAGTTTAATGTGTACAGCAGTGGACCTTTGGCAAATGCGAATGATTTAGCATCACGATTCGTTATGCCTGGGATTCCATCAACACATGAAGGGAAAAATCCTTATGGTGAGTCTACACATGATCAAAATATTCATAGTTTCGGTTCAAATTATCCATCTTCTGATGTTGATGATTTTGTAAAACCAGCTTCGTCTAATCCACACAATGCCCTTAAATTCCCAAGAGTCATTGATTTCACGAACATCAAACAATTTTATCCCACAGAGATTGATGACAAATATCAGGTAGCAAGCTATAGCTCCATTTTCAATAATCAAAATGAAAATAATATGTTTTCTAATAATGATGAGCCAAGTAATAAATTTATTCAACCAACAAAAACAATAAAAGATACTTCATCTTTCAACACTCAATACAGGGATAAAAATTCTGATAAAGAATCGATCAAGCAAAGTTCATATCAAAATCAAGAGTATAGTAGACCAAATTTCATAGGCTCCTCCCCAAATAAACCAAGTTACAAAGGCTCTAATTATAATTTAGATTACAAAGATAATTTCAAGAATAAATGGAACTCAGGAAATTACAGTAACAACGAACCACAAGCTGCGAAAATGTCAACAAAAGGGTACGAATATTCCACTGATTTTAGCAATACTAGTTTTAGATACGATTTTGAAGAAGACAAAAAGCCTTTTAATATTAACACTGACGAGCTCGTCCCTGAAAGTAGTAACTTGGTTGATTTGACGAGTTATAACATACCCGATAACGATTTTTTTAAATTCAAAAAAGTACCCGAAATAGTAAAATACCCATTTGATGACGACTTTGGTGCACACTTGAGTAAAGATAAATACAAAAACGACGAATTTATCAATCAATTTAAGAACTTGTATGCGACCACTCCAGCTGGTCAATGGGGAAATGCATTTACGTCTAACGAGTATTCATATAAGCATAGACCTAAAAAACCGCAGTTTGATGAAATCAATACTGATATTGTACACATACCAAAAAGACCAAGTAGTAACTACAAGTACAACTTTGGAAAGAATCAAGAAAGTAAGCCTACTGAGTGGCCAAAAACCAGGCCGTATAAATCAAATAAATTTGAGAAACCCTCAGATTGGAATAAAGAAGTCTTTAGCACTCGATTTAAACTAGAAGAAGATTTACTAGGTCTCAGAAATCATGATACGTCACATTCGTCGTACATTCCACCTCATAGACCCAACAATAATAATGACCTTGTCGAACAGAACGATTACAAAAAGTTAGTAGAGAAATGGAGACAATCATATTTGAAGAGCAAATATAAAGATGCCTACCGCGACTACGAAAGCTATGCATCAGAAGCGAAACCTCTTCATGTACCTATCCCCAAACCATATCCGGTAAGTTAGCTTGAATATTTCCATACTGTAAATATATGTGTGGTTGTATGTGGTAGCCAATGTGGTGATCACCTTTTTATGTAATTATCTAGCAAAAACTGATACAAAGGAATGCGGATCGGAAAAGCAGACAACGCACGTCGCGCACTAATTTCCTCGCCTGCTCTTGGTCAGTAAGATGATGCGCGTCCGTGCACTTGGGAGAAATCATGAAACTAAACACCACTTTGGATTTAATACTACATACGGGTTTTGCTAAAGATTTTTCAATGAGTTATTATAATTAAATTAATCTGGGGTGTTAGCTAATATTGATTTAACGTTACGTACAATACACATAAAAAGTAATAGTCTAGAAAGCGAAAATCCAAGTTCCAAAGAAAACATATTGTTCTGACAACTGATGGTTTAACGAGTGGTTGGGTGCTGGTAATGAGCTCGTTGACCCTCTGACTGCAGTCACGGACCATTTGCTCCAAGAAAATCATTGTAACAACAGTGAAAGTAAGATCAATCCTACGGGATATCAATAATCATAACATCTCAGTTATGGCTGATAAGTAATATCTTAGCTATAGCTGATATTCCGATTTCATAACAAGAATAGTAACTAATAATACCTAAGGATAGAATTATGCGTGTCTCTTTAATCAATTAAATATTTAAACAAGGCAGTAGACTTCTGAAAAAAATGACATAGCGTGTGTATGCTAATGAGCAAACGTTTCATTTGCTCGAGTTATATAATAGTTTCCTCCATTCTACAGTCCAATTACTATTTTTAATTGACAGGTATTTAATCAGTTTTCCCTGCGTTATTGCCATGTTCCTACTACGAAGTTTTCGAATTTCCGAGTTGTATCAATATCATATTAAGACGATGGCGTAGACAAAATCATACAAGAAAAACTAATATTCATAGAAGTTTGAGTAAGATTCTACTTAGATACTAAGTCTGATTAGCCAAGTTAAGGAAGTAAGTATTTACTTAGCACATAAAAAGAACTTTAAAAACTTAATCGATAGAACAGAGCAAAAAGGGCGGGTGACATCTTTAATATTTTGCAGATAGAAGTTCCTCATCCGGTGATTGTGCCGGTTCCACAACCGTACCCGGTGCGGGTACCGGTACCTAAACCGGTGGCGGTGCCGGTCATCCGGGAGCTCACCGTACCTATTGAGAAACCGGTGCCGTACCCGGTTATCAAAAAAGTTCCTTACCCAGTAGAGAAGCCTGTCCCTGTGCCCGTTGAAAAGGAGGTCAGTCACTAGAAACTAAGTTGCAGGCTTCGTTAGTTAGACAAAACCGTTGAAACAAATATTCAGACAAAGATATTTGATGAAATAACCATTGACGTGTAGGAAATCTGCTAATTACATAGAACGTAACAACATGTACATAATATGTCATGCGAATGCTTTTACACTGTTTTGTGAACAACACGCATCTTTTTCTGTATGTAATGTAAATAACTATCTACCTAAACCGCTTTTGCATGACTTCGTGTGTATTATGCCCGTTTGTTTTAAGAGATAAGTTTTTACTATTTCTTCTACCGTGTGAATTATATCAATCAGTACCAGACTTCTTGTAATACCACAATGTAATAGCATATTCTCCGAGAAAATTAAATTACTTTTCTTAACGAATAATCACATCAATTCAAATGTGTAAAGTCTCTACTTCCCTACTTTTCGAAGTTTTGTGTTTAAAAAAACTATGTTTCAAGCACTAACTTGTCATAGGTATTTCTTTTGCCTGATATAATGATAGTCAATACACACACTATATCAAATTATTTGCGAACCAGGTTCACGTTCCAGTGGTGAAACCATACCCAGTGCACATCCCCCACGTGAGGCCAGTGTTTCACCACTCACGGCCTCCTCGAGAGGACTTCGACGAGATAGATGCAGATGAAGATGACTATCTACCGCGCCCTGAGGGTAGTAAGAGAATACCACCATATAAGAAGAGACCAAGAACGTGAGTATTCATTACTCTACATTTGCTGAGATGTAGTTACTATCAAAAATCTTTCACCTTTTTTGATCCTGTTACTTTGGTCTTTTGTCGAATGATGATGACATAGCTCATCACTGGTAAGAAGGACTAGTCCAATACCTTGTACTTCAGGTGCTTGGTGTAGTGACGACAATAAGTGATATGACGCAGTTTCTTAGGTAAATCGATCATCAAAACGTCCATCATTCGAAGTCAGGCTCTCATCCTTTCGATGAGTAGGGACATACTCATTTAATATCATTGTCTGGACATTGTATTCAGATATCATTTCATCATTTAATTATTTGATAAGATATCTGCGCTTGTGTTATACATGCCACTGATAAAAGATATTGCGTGTGTATTCACAATTTATGGTCTGTCAAGTTCAAAGACTTTTATTGGTTACAGCACGCGTGTGCGTCCACGCAGGCCCACTCGCACCTCGTACCGCGACCGCAACACGCGGGAGAGGAGACGGTGGCCCATTGGATACAGGCCATCAGAAACTAGAAGTAGACGACCCCCCACAGAATACCACCACTCCCCACCATACAAGTACCACGAATTCGAATCGGAACACTACGAAAACGAACCAACTGACTATTACTATTTGCACTGCAAGAGAACTGGCAATTGTTGAGCTAAGCAAATTCATGGCTATGCCTTGTAACTTCATGGAGATCTCTTAAAGGTATTTTCTTAGGACGAGTGTTCGAAGTAAAATAACTTATAATAAGTNAAAAAAGTTATCGTCGACTAAAAAAATAAAAAAACGTTTTTTGCTTCTCCTGAAAAGTCGTACTTTGTCCTTTACGACCTTTGAGCCCAGAGGTATCGATATGTGTTAGGACATAAATCCAACAATGATCTCTTTGGAGTGTATTCCTAACTCGCTTAGTATTAATATTACAAATGTTGCATTTTGTAGAATAAGCCATTTGAATATTATAAACTTTTTATTCTGTGGTATCAAAATTCAAACACTCGCCGTTTTTAGAAAATAAGATAATATTTTTAGGAATAGACGTAATTTTTAAATGTTAATACTGACATGTTTCTGATTTAAGGGAAACTTCTATGAATGAGTCAAAACTTTCTTCAAGTGTTAATAACATCTGTAATTCAGATATTATTGGTTTTTGTTATTAAGTTTATTATAAATAGGCATTTGAAATTCAGAACTAAAGTTAACTTTTTACAAACAGTCCTCAACGTCATCTATCAACCATATTATAATCCGTACTAAACTTTTTTACACTTGAAGCTTTTATATTTTTTGTCATGTTGCTGAAAATGCAGTTTTTGTAAGTTCTACCATGCGATTTTACAGGGTAGTTTATTATTAAAAGAAATGAGTTATTAGCCCAATTTAAATATACCTACAGTTGTAAGTACCAAATACATTGTTAAAGTTTTCAGTTCCACGGTTTCCTTCTGCGGTAATACTTATTTTACACATGAAAGTCCCTAGAAACATGTATTTATTTAGCATTTATCATATGGATTTATCCATTACGTTGTACGTCATAATAATAAGTAGTAATCTTGGTTTCGATCGTTTCATTATGGAGTATTTCTATGTGCCAGTGCTATTGTTATTTTCTTTTTAATTACCATTGTTTTAGTATCTAGATTATTTTGTTAAGTTTCATACGTCTTTTATTTATACTTTAATAGCATGTATTGTATTATTATTGTAGTACATTTAGCCATAAGTAAAAAATAAACTGAAAAAGTTGTTTTGATTTCATACAATACCTGTTGTTTAGAAATGAATTTAATGCTGCCATTAAGACTGAAAAATGAAATTCAGTTGAGCAAAAAAACGTTTTATTCATATAAATGAGATCAATTAGAAAAGAATACACCTCGATCGTTGCAAATAAGATTCGAAAACTAAATCGTCATCAGTAAAAATATAAAAGTTTCACAACACGTGACAGCTCATCTAGCTGCAATGGTAAACATAATGCAGAAATAACTTATGCCAGCAATTATCTAGCCGAGTCATATTGCGGAGAGCAACGTCCAGTCGCGCTTGGCCGGTCGCTTTTACCAACGCTCCGATTGTCAGAATTCATTATTGGCAATACACATTAGAGATTCACAATAATGACGTTATTATTTCCGTATCGATCGCATTTTTTCACCATATCGTAATTATATCCTAAGGTAGATAGGTATCGAGACTCGTATATCAATTATTGAAGAATTCTGTCATTTAGTTTTCTTAAGAATAAGCAAATGGAATTACTGTATCGCTGAAACAGACTCATAGATATGTGTTCGAGTTAAGAAATCAAACGTTTTCGCGTTAGGTTCTGGAACGAACCTAACCAAGCTTAAGAATGTTGTGAGGAAATTAACCTCACATTTTCAGGAACTTCAGATTCAGGTTATGTATGAAACCTCACCCTAATCGGTCGATTGGTATCGTCTAAAGATGATCTGTGATATTTTCATAGTGTATGGGTGGAAAGTGCCCAGAAACAGATATATTTAGCATTTACTTTTGTACAAAAGTAAACGCTGGATAACACTCTCTATTTGTATTGTTGCATTCATTCGCTCAACACCTACCTAACTAAATTGAATGATATTATTCATTATGATTATGCGGCTTCATTATTTTTCGATGGACCGACGACGTCAAGAAGATGGATGTTATATTGAGGATGAAGAAAGTGGAAGATCGTGCGTAGTGGCGCCTCTCGTCAAAGAACTAGTTACTTAACAGTTGAATGTTATTGGCTGAAATGATGATATTGATTGAAAATATGGTATATGCGTCATTTGTCAGCAGCCTGCTGACATATTTAAGGAGGAGCTATTTACGAAATTATAAATCAGCAGATTTTATTTACCAGTAAAAGGATCTTCACTTAATAAGTTGTGCTGAATGTTTTCATGTACAGTATAATGTACAAATGTACAAATTACTCTTCAACATTAAAAGTTGATTCAATAGCTCATTAATTAATATTGTTTGATGCATGAAACTGTTTCATCGTAGAGCTCTATATTTTCACCAACGCCTACGGTTTGCTACCAGCACTCCCTCGAAATGTAAACAACTAAAGGTAGGCGTTTGTAGAGTAATCAAAACAAAGACAAATTCAGCCAAGGAATGTAAATTAAATAAGTCTTAGGTAATTATATTAATTAACTCAGGTTTAGGTCATGACCGGCGGCTGTGGCTTTATTCGTTAGTGGGTTTAATTTCTGTTGCTCTACATATTTTTCGCTGCAGTAGGTAAAGGTCCACTAAACTTTTTGCAACTTAAAACCTATGTTTTTTATAAGTAGCAATGACTCTGAGTCTTTAAACGTGTATTCTTTCTTTCTGTCTTTCTTTAAGTAAGTGACAGAAAAGNTAAAAGTTAATTTAATAGCTCATTAATTAATATTGTTTGATGCATGAAACTGTTTCATCGTAGAGCTCTATATTTTCATCAACGCCTACGACTTACTACCAGCACTGCCTCCAAAAGTAAACAAGTAATGGTAGGGTTTGTAGAGTATCAACACAAAAACTAATTCAGCCAAGGAATGTAAATTAAATAAGTCTTAGGTAATTATATTAATTAACCCAGGTTTAGGTCATGACCGGCGGCTGTGGCTTTGTTAGTGGGTTTAATTTCTGTTGCTCTACATATTTTTCGCTAAAGGTCCACTAAACTTTTTTTTATTAGTAGCAATGACTCTGAGTCTTTAAACATGTATTCTTTCTTTCTGTCTTTCTTTAAGCAAGTGACAGAAAAGCACTTATATCCTTCCTTACCCGCCACTCGATATGTCTACACACAAAAACACCGATGCTCACTTCGCCAATCATCGTGCACTAACATTTCCGTCAACTGTGACTGGTCATCACTGAAATTATTGGGATTTACTGTCGCTGTTGGAAATACTGAAGCTACCAAACAAATTGCTTACGCGATGAATACAAAGTACCATGTGACAACATTTATGACGTCTAGTATGGAGCGTTTTTGGGTAATTCCATTACACAGTGATAAGTATCTCGGGGAGTTTTTTTTCATACCGAAGTAATTATTTCACCAATTTTTCTATTAAAGAGAGGTCTATCTTTGAAAAACCTAAAAAATGACATGATGCCTATTGGAAAGACATTTTGATTGTTTAATTTTAATGAACAAATGAAACTGCGCAGTGTCCACAGCTGTGATATGATAACTGATAATCGATTCTGTTAGCACCTCAAAATAGTCATATTTCTGACTCTATCATCTACACTAATATTATAAAGAGGAAAACTTAGTTTGTTTGTATGGTTGGTTGTAATGAATAGGCTCAAAAACTACTGGACCGTTTTTATAAATTCTTTCACCATTCGAAAGCTACATTATCTACGAGTAATAAAAGCTAAATTTTATTTTTAAAAAAAGTAGGGCTCCGTAAAATATGTAGATAATGTTGTTGTACGATGTCGCGCGAAGCCGCGGGCGGAAAGCTAGTAAGCAATAAAAGCGACAGAAAATATGATAAGCCGGAGGTTATCATTAAATAAATCGATCTTAGCATGATCATAACACACAATAATTTGGCTGATGATATTGATTCTAGTCCCAGTGACGACCATCAAAGGTACCTATATCGTTGTGGGAAATCCCATCAATTTTTCGTCTAACAATAGGTATGGGTTCATGTATCAATGATACAAGTTGCAATTTATAAAACAAATCCAACTACATTATTATGAAATCAGAAATGGAATATCGNACCAGTAGCGCAGTAATATGATCAATTTAATCGACAAATCCAGTATTAAAAAATTACAGCTATTTTATTTTTTTTAGTTTCTGAGTCCGGATGGATTCATTTATTTACCAAATCTACCGATGTACAGGACCTATGAGTATAAAAGTGATTCGTTCGACAGCTGAAAAAGTAAGCAATACGTTGTCATTAGTGATGGGCCGACTATGGTCTTTGCCGACTAACCGACTAGCCGACTAATCGGTTTTCAAATTGCCGACTAGTCGGCCGACTAATCGGCAATGCCGATCATTCTAATACCTATTTTTCGGAAGATTAATATCGAAATTTCATAAAAAAATAAGAATAACTAGATTTATTAAAGAAATAAACATATCAAAATTTCTTAAAAATATGAAAAAATATACTTTACTGCAGTACCTACCTAAGGTTGCTGTCATCATTTACGAAGCTTGAGGGGTCAGAGGAGGTGACAATATGATCGCCTCCTGGTACTCCACGGTGATGGTCAGCGAGCTGAGGGCGTGGGGGCACCCCTGCCAGCATTGCATGGACCACCATCACCATCGGAATAGGCAGAGCCCGCCTTGAAGGCGGGCAATTGCCGAGAGAGATTGTGTTAGTTGATGTCTTTGTCCGGATTCCCTTTTTTTTAGTTTATTTTTTAATGCGTAACAAGGCGCAATGAGACCGCAATCGCACTTGGTATTAAGTGAGATGCAGTCCAGGATACCATCCTGCCTATATCTGCCCTATAATCGCCTAACTTTTGCCTTGAAAAGGCCCGGATTATAATGTTGGGGAAAGACAGCAGCAGGCAGCAAATTCCAGTTGTTCGCATTATAAAACAGTTATCAAAACGCTTAGTTCGAGCTGGAGGAATGTCGACAATCCTAGATTGTTGATTCATTGGTACGCTAACCTGCGTCTGGTTTCCCGCAATAAGGCGATCGACGGAGCACAGAGATTATTTTAGTGGGTACTGGGTAGTATGTAGTATGCCTTATCCTTTCAGTGAGAGGAGCCCCATATAACCAGCCCTATCCCCACAGGGTAGGTACGCAATTCCATGCATTTTTCCCCGAAAAAAGTGTCATAATTTTTAAATGGACAAATTACATAAACTTCACACATTTTTGATAATTTTCCTGGTTATTTTAACTAATCAACTTTGTATGAATTCAGACTGATTGCCAAAATTTCAAATCAGGTGAAACCACTTTTGACTGATTTTTTGCAGTCAAAAGTGGTTTAGATAAACGCCCGTGGTCTACTTCATAATCATCTTGGTGATTATGAGTTTTATTTCGTTCACATATTTAATTTTGTAATGCGCCGATTATAATCGGCATATTTTGCCGAATAGTCGTCACTAGTCGGCCGACTACAAATGATGCCGAATAGTCGGCTTTCCCGACTAGTCGGCGACTAGTCGGCCCATCTCTANATTATTATGAAATCAGAAATGGAATATCGTGTCGAGAGAATTCTACTTTTAAGTAATTCAAGTTATTAATTAACCCATCCCAATTTAATTTTTTAATTTTGGCAACTAATTGTATTGTTCAAAACACTTTTTATACTCACAAGGTAATGCCTATTCATGTAGGTAGGTACTGCGCAGGAACTTAAAAAAAGTTTTTCGCGTTAATGAGTTTGCTATTGTTAATTATTATACGTACTTATTATTAAAACAGTATTCTGCTTTGATTTGTAGATGATAGGGGCGTATTGTAATGAGGTGTTTTAATGATTAATAATTATTCATCATTGAATAATATTATATTTATGCACATAATATAGTATAGTTACGTTACTTAATAATTGATCAAATGATCAAAACACTTTAAATAACAATACATACATCAAGTTCATATAGGTAATGATTTTTGGCACTAGGGAAGTGAAACTAGCTTTTACNTAATAACTATTATGACGTTTTCTATTGGCCAAAAGATTTAACTCTCTAAAAATCCGCGTGCAACCATATCCTGCTTAAATATTGTGCACTTTATTCAGCACAGATTAAACAAGCTAAATGACAAATAGAATAGATTGAAATGACAGATTGCACTTGAATTACCCTACTGATTTTAGTAAATACCTAATTTATACCTTTGGAAAATATACCTACATATAGAATCTGTACTAACTATACCTACTAGATAGATGATTGTTAAGAAGTAGATAAGGTATATTGCAAAATCTGGGCGGTTGATTTGTTTGAGGAAGCAAATATTTAAGAGCAGGAAAAAGGGAGGATCTTAGAATGATAAGAAACTAACGCTTAAGTTTCGTTCTCGAATATCCACTTAATTTTATGGAGATGTGAATGATTATAAACAAAAATATTATCTTCTATATCTATCTATTATATAAAAGAAAGTCGTGTTAGTTACTCCACTTATAACTCAAGAACGGCTGAACCGATTTAGCTGAAAATTGTCAGGGAGGTAGTTTAGAGCCAGGAGAAGGACATAGGATACTTTTTATCCCGTTCGAAATTAAAAAAAAAGTCTGCTTATTTATTGCTATTAAGTCGGAACAAAGTTCGCCGGGTCAGCTAGTTAGTACTAAATAAAATCCCTGTAGAATGTAGACACTCATCTCACTCGTCGTATGTAGACCACTGTAAATGAATGTCACCTTTAAATCTACTGTGACTGTCGCCTCAGGTGCTTTGTATCGGGTATCAGATTGTCAAATCGTTCCAAAAAAACATACTTAGTAGGCAATTTAGTTGTCCGAATGAATAGGCAGTGGCAACGGATGCGTCGGTTACGGGAGCGAGCCTTGAATTACGCGGATTCAATTCACAGCATGCGCAAACGCAATCGGCTAGTTCACACGTGACAGGGTAATGAGCGTGTTGGTCCATTGATCGGAACTGTTGCTTAATATTTACGTTTTTAAATTGACCTTCAAATCTAAGTGGTCATCTGCACCAGCTTGGTCCCAGGATTTTAATGCACACTACATTAATTTAGGAAATTCATAAATATTTTAACATTACTATACTCGTACTACCTAGAATTCTTGTAAGCAGGTACATACGCTGGGTTTTTGGTAAAAAAATGCTCCAATTACGGTCAGCAAATGGAGTTCAAGTTAAAAACCAATTTTATCACTTCCTCTAATATGTGGGGCTATGTAAGTGTGGTAATTTTTTCAGTACATTAACACCACGGGTGTCATATCCTATAGCGTGAAAAGTTACTTACTTGATAGTTATAAAAGTTCCTAACAAAGTCATAACATAGAATAGACAATCCCAATTCACATGATACAAGAAGAGGATCACCATAAAGTCCACTACATAAGTCAATGACATATTTCTACGAACAGTCTTTACGATGATCAGTTCTTAATACTTCAAACATCATTCAGCTATAACTAGGTATTTATAAAATCAAAAACCATTAGGTAATTATCATCTTTATCAAATCAATTTTCGATTAATTTCAAATTCAATTTTAGATTGATGATTGTTGTAACAATGATTTAAGTTTTTATGAATAAACATGCAATCCATTTCTTAGCCCTATTAATTGTTTTATGGAGAAACATTTACTACTACGAGTAGGTACTATCACTAAAATATAAGTGATAGAGATAAAAACAGTTAACTTTTGACCCAATAAATACCGTAATTTGTTAATGACGAAATTGAAGAACGTCTTTTAAGTGTTTTTCGAGAAAGGTAACTCACGCTTCAGCCATTGATTGACTTTACCAAATATACATTGAGTCATATTGTGAGAACCCATTAACGTCTTTATTAAATGATTCTTAATTAATACGTTAGTATAATTAGCAGTGGGTAAGTCTCTACATTTCATTTGAGTTGGTAAGTCCATTTACGCATGTTAAATTAGTATATTTGGATTAAACTGTCTAGCTCTTAGGTTTTAAATCATCTAATAATATTTAATTGATTTTTGTTAACTCTCAATTCTATGAAATTTGTTTCTGAATTGTATTTAAATTTGCATGTCTGAAAGGACTAAAAGTGCGATTATAATATTGTTCATGTTTTCATCCTTTGTTACTACTTTTTAAGCAAATAAATTATTTCTATTTCTATTTGTATAAAATGACTAGATATCTAAAAGATTGTGAATGACCTAGGTTACGAGATTAATGATATTTCCTTAAGGTAAGTTTGAATTTTATTTATGAACCTTGGCTGAAATCTACCTACTGTCGATATGATCTTGGAGAGCAAGTTCACTGATGACTAGATATGGTCACTGCGATCGTAAAATATATATTTTCTTTTCTCCTTACCTTAACTTTTTCTTAGCTAAGAATGTTGAAGATATCAAATGTTAAAGTATCTTTATGTTACTGTATATTGCGAACAATGAGCTTTAGGAAGGAGCGAATTTAAAGTAAAAGAAGAAAGTTCGACTCTATCTACATCATGATCTAAACAGACCTGGAAAAAATAAGAGTTTTCACAATTATGACTCAAAAAGTGAAAAATTAAAAAATTTCAGGTAATGTACCTAACCTAATTCTCCTTTTATTTTCGTATATTTTACCTGTAAGAAAACCTGATCAACAAAACAAATAAAATTGATAGAGCGTAGCCTACGAAAAGTTATAGTATAAAAAGTCTCCCGATTAGATAATATTTAGTCTAGTAATATCTATAATTAGGAGTCTAGTAATATCTATGAGAAAAAGCGCAATTGACTTTTAACCCAGATCGTGCTGAACAGCTGTATTTCTTCAACATAATTTACCTCTATTGAATTAGGAATATTAATTCTTCTACTGACTCATGTTTAATTGAAATAAATGTGAAACTAATAAACTGAAAAAAATATCCTAGACCTAATTGCCCGGCAGTGCCGGGTATTCGGCGCCATTACCCGGTACCCGGCCTGATCCTGAAAATGTGCCGGATCCGCCGGGTACCGGATCCACACCGGGTATCCGTCCCATCTCTGATGTATTCTATCTATCTATCTAACTATAAACATTAAAGTTTTAATACGCGTCGGCTTGTATCAGTTAATTGATATCGTATGAACAAAATTATATAGATTCCCGCATTAGTTTATGCAAAAATCCTCAGTGTTGATATTGAATGTTGTTGTGTATATAAAAGGCTGGCGACACACCTAGCGCCATAGTGCGTGCCGGTCGCCGTGGCGAGAGAGACGTCAGGCTGTGACCTGCGGAGTGCCATTCATTTACAAATACAAACACGTAAGTAAACTCAATTCTAATGCCTTTCCACTAGACAGTTTCCAGTAACAGAAAGAATTTAACAAACGGTTTATGTAGAAGCGATACTAACACTAATGTAAAGTTAAATAAAAGTTAAAGGTCAATAAGCTCGACTTCGTGGAATTTTGAGACAGTCGGTGGGTGACATGACGAAAATTGCAGTAAGCTTGCAAAAAACATTCATGAGTGGTTACTTTTATATAAAACACAAAGTTGTTCAGTGAAAAAAGTTATAATTACCTACATACATTATAAAATAGTTTTATAAAGCTCTTTTTCATTAAGTGAGAGCTTAAAAAATCTATTTATAAACGAGTAACACGTAAAATTATTTTGGTGAAAACTTAAAGCTGCATATTTATAACGTTTAAGTCATTGAACGCTGAGACGCTAGACACAATGGAAATTGTATTGTTCGAGGCTCACCGGTGAGCCGCGTGGCGTCCAACGTGTTAAGTAATGACGGCATTTTACTCAATGGTTGCACTAAGAAATGTACGAGTATGTTATTAGGTATTTTGTTTTTTTTACAAAGGTTAGTGAATTTTATTACTATGGTAAATATTAAGTTACTATGGTTAGCTAACAATTTAGATGTTACACAAAATTTGCTGTTTTTCCCATTTTTTTACCTAATCTTATTAATTTTATTTAATAAACCAAAACTGTTTTCTTTTTAAAATACTTTATTGTAATAAATTCACCACAATAAGTGCGTGCATTCTTGTATATTGATGAGCAATTTCATGGTCACTTTGTTCGCAATCTCTTGCCGTATTGGTGCAACTATGTAAATGCTATGCAGTTTTCCGGTAAATAAAGTTCCAATGTTTTGATTATAAACAAACTGTATTAATGGGCATGTAAAAAAAAATAGGTAACGATTTTATGATAAAAAATAATTAAATACATACCTAGTTAATAAATTATTAGTATCATTTTAATTACTTTTACAGTGGGGAATTACTAAGTTCAATATTGTTAGCTCGAAGATTATCTAAGTAATTACAAAAACATTAGGTAGAGTCATTAGTAAGGAATAACCAGGCATTTATGAAAGTCTTGACTGATTTTAATTCTGTGACGGGTCTGGGTGTTTTCTATGTATAATATGTAGGTATTAAAAAAAGTATTTAAGTAGGTATGTCTATATCCGTTGTCTAGTACACACAGTACAAGCTTTGCTTAGCTTGGGACTAGCGGCGCAGTGTAAAATGTCCAATGATATTTATTTATTTATTTTATTCACTGCTTGGGTTTCCAGGCCGCTGAACAGCATCTAAAAAAAGTACCCAGTATGAAGATAAAGCCTAAGATTTAAACTTGAAAAAAATAATTACTAAGTACCAACTTAAAGTAACGTACCTATTCTATACGGTGACCAAAAGGGGCCACCTAGTGAGAAATAATCCCCTGTTCCCGCGTAACTTTTCGACCTCCAACCGGTTATAGAAGTGGTGCAAACGAGGCAACATAATTATCAATTATGTTTGGAATTCGCGTGGTCCTTAAAAAAAACAAAACAGCGCAGCCAATAATGGCCGAATGGTCATCGAACGAAATAGAATCTTCACAATGGAATCTGAACTCGATAATGCTTGTTGGTTACCCTGAAAAATGTATAATTTCAGTGGTCTTTAGTGTAGAGATTCATCTGACAACCTTCATTTAGTTGAGTATTATACCTAAGATAAGTAAATACCTGACTTTTATAGGTACTAAAGTATGATTATAGTACTTTAACTAACTATTCCTTGCAAAGGCGGAAAATCAAAGGCGTGTTAATTAATGAAAACTGATGACCTGTCATTCGAGGAAAACTTTTTCTTGAAGTCATGATATCCAGATTGACCGTAAATACATTATTTCAAGCTAATTATCACGCTGTACTGATTAGTTTACTTGAAGAAAATTGCGAACAAAGAGATTGATGTTACCACTCCTTTACCAAAGGACTCGTTTAGGAGAAAACCTCAAAATATCATATTTTTGGCATTAACGGTTAACGAAGATGTTCTTGTTTTGATTGTGGTTGGGTTTGTGTGGATAACTTTACCTCATACTCGTAATGTCATTCAAGCCAGCTAAAAATAGGCAAAGTAACAGTCATGGTTCTTCACCAACCAAAACACGGAAAGTTCTTGCACTATTGTTTTCATTTGCCTATTTCACACTAGATTACTTTCAACAATGAATTTCCTTGGGTACATGACTCGCCGTTTTATTTATTGTCGCTTACTACCGCAGACCTTGGGTTGAGCAAAGGCTCGTGGTCGTGACAACTACAATCCCTTCCTTCACAAGCTCGGTGCACGCTCGGTCGGAAGTCTCTATAAACGTCGTCTTAACTGTTTTTACTTCGACCCAGCATCCTTCCTTTCACTTAAATAACATCTGAGAATATCAACTGGCCTACATAAAGGTAACTTAATTTATACTAATAATGAGGCAAATAACTTCTAAATGTTTATAGCAGCTTTGCTTTTACATTTGAACTTGACATACCTCTACAGTATTGAAATTCATTTGAGTCCGCAAGATTAGGTATTAAAAGTACCTAAGTACTTTAAAACCATAATATTTTATGCATTGCATCTGGAGTGTAATTTACCGCTGATATCAACGTTTCGTTGCATAATCTATCGCCACAATTCCCATGCCGAATACATAACAAGCTTGATCTGCAGAGATAAGGAAGAGTACGAGCCCCCAACTGGTTTCCCAATAATAAGATCACAAACCATCCGCAAAAACGTGAGCCAGCTATTATTATAGTTTGTGAGGTGCTCCGCTTCACAATACTGTCATTACCAAGTTACAACATCGCGGAGCATCTCGTTGCCTCGCTTGGTAAACATTATTCAGAACAGCTCAGGCTCCGATTAAATCTAGATTCTATCTAGCTAGAGGCACGAAAGTGTATGCTAGGACATTTGAACTTCCACATCATGACAACAAAAACGTAGCAGATGCAAAAAGATAATGCAGTACACAAACAAGTAATTTAGCGACTGGCGTCGTAGTTGGTTTTTGTCAACTTATGCATCAATGTTTTCCAATTTTTAACGGAATAACGTCAAAGTAGCGGTTCAAAATATAGCATTGATGGGATTTCTAGTTAGTCCTAAAAGGAAGTGAGCAAATTAAAGTACCCTGCTTAAACTAGAGACATAATTTTTTGTCATTAATGAAATAACTAATTGATAGTTTGGTTTCAGGTCGAAATGAGAGCAATCAGTTTCGTCGTTGTCCTTGCAGTGGCATCCATCTGCGAGTCTGCGACTCCTAATCTCCGGTTCGCATGGAAACAGATAGACTACACATGGAACTCTACAGTAGACCGTGAAAATGCTCTCAAGGACGGATCGTTCGTGCCGGATAATAATCTCCCACTTGGTTTAGCACGGTGGAAAAACAAATTATTTATTACTGTCCCCCGATGGAAGAATGGAGTCGTGTCTTCGCTGAACTACATAGATGTAGACGGTGCCCAAGATCAGCTGTACAAACCGTACCCTTCGTTTGAGGACAACTTCATTGGTGACTCCACAACAGATCTGCCGTCGAACAACAGCATCGTATCTGTCTTCCGAGTTAGCGTGGATCCTTGTGACAGGCTATGGGTTATGGACACAGGGCTAGCAGACATTTCAGGTAAAAAAATATCCTACTTATCAAGTAACAAGCATAAATAAAATACTTTAATTGGCTGTAGCTGCAATTTATATAAATTCTCAAAGATACTTAAAACTTATCAACGCGATGTATCTGTGTAGTAGAGGAGAAAACTGCATGAAATATGGACTACACAGATATTTATGAACGATTTATGTGGAAAGTGTTGTGTACGTGTCGTTGTTGTTTAACAATATCTTTATTTTTGTCAAATGAGTAAACAACGCAGCCAAATGTGAGATGATTCCGCGTATCTGTGAATGAAAATAAAATTATACCAATTAAATAGACCCAACAATTTCAAACGAAAAAAAGTCAAACGGTTTTGAGTCTATAAATATTGAATTTATTGTATTATTTTTAAAAGTGAAAGACACTTACTAAAAGAGAGAGTAACTAATCTGAAAACTCTGGAATCGATTTGAAATAATAGAGATTTTTACACAAAATTATCTGTTGCAAAGCAACATTTAATTAACGGATGTATTAGTTAGGACAGAGGCAGATAAAAAATAATATTATGGTAGTAAGAAATCGTTGTTAAGGAAGTTAATTGTTTATAGGTTTGCTTTAATTACAGTAGCTACATATGTCTACTTACCTACATACAGTCTATGTATGTATAGGACCACGGAAAATTACTTGGCCTTTGGTCTTGTGATCTGGCTTTGTGATCTAGTATTCTTAATTAATTATTACCTACTCGTTTTAAATTGCAAATTCTGCACATAACAACAAAGCCCCATTAAACGGTATTTAAGATATTAGTAATAACAAGCTATTGTTCATACATCAAGTTTCATTCTATGCAGGATTTATGAATACATTTTCACATGGAGTTAGCGATCTCTGCCATTGAGGGGCTCGTAAAGAAATTAAGTAAACTGAAGTAGGTAAAGTTGTGAACTTTACATAACTTACAGATTAAGAACTAAGAACATTTAATTTGAAACTGTACTTAACTCGAAAGCTGTATTTCTGAACACATTTTATCGTTCTGAAACTACTATTTTAGGTACTGCTGAAAAAAGCATCGCTTAGATTAATTTCGCAGGTATTTTGACGTAGTCTTACGCATCCATTAGCTAAATTGTTTCTGGAAATTGACAATCGATGGCATATCTCCTGACCGGAAAATTCGATGGTCAATTGTTTAGAATGACAAGTAAATTAACAACACAATACATACATCGCAATAGGAGCAACAGCTCAGCTGGGTAAAACCGAATTCCGCCGGTACAAAAATATGCCGAAATGATTGTTTTTATTATAAATTGCTAGTATGATAATTACTTATTGTAATTTGATTGTTATAATATTGCGAGTATGATAATGACTTGTTTATGACTTTAATTACTTCGTAGGTGTCGGAAACCAAGTTGCTGGGCCTTCGATCGTGATATTCGACTTGAACACCGACCGGCTGATCCACAGATATTTCTTCAAAGTGAGCGATATGAAAGCGGACTCGTTTTTTGCCAACATTGTAAGTAAAATAATAATTAACACTTTTTAAACGTTACATGCTTCTTTAGATATTAAATCTTACCATTTAATTACTCTATATTTTCTTTTTCTCAATTTGATAAATGTTTATCATGAAATAAGAAATGTTATTACGACAATGATTGACTTACACTCAGAGCCAATTTTAAAAAGAAATTAGGCCGACCGAAATCGATACAAAATTGTTTATATCCTTAGAGATGTAAATAAATAAACCTATATTTGAAAGCAAGGTGATAATGTAACTCTACAGTGTGTAGAGCAACATCTAAAATTGAAAGCAAGGTGATAATGTAACTCTACAGTGTGTAGAGCAACATCTAAAATAGTAATTTTAGTAGTTTGTTTTCATCTATTGTAACAAAAATGCACTACAGTCTGTACTCAGAATACTGGAGCGTAGAACATAATCACAAAATGGAGCATTTTTCTTTTGAAACCCATTCACTCTCATGTATGGTCCTGCGGCAATTAAATTTCTCCATTCAAGGGCAATTTTGTGTATTTATAGACGTCATAGCAAAATGAGAGTGAATAGGGAGCAATTTAGGAAAACTGGACACGCTCCCGCTGCCAGTCTACTTTCGTGAAAACAAGGCATGATTATAAAATCACATAAATATACAATCAAGATCGTAAAATTGTTTAACATTTGCCAACAATTTACATATTTAGTTTGTAAACAATGCTATTGCAAATTATATAATAAGCACTAGCCGAAATTTGTTGGCATTGGTCCAGATTACTTCACTGATCGCTCCGAATAAATCCATACAATGTTGCCGAATAATATAGAATTGTATGTGTGTAAGAGGACATTGACATGATAACCGGCCGTTATTTACAAATTATTCGATCTTCTTTGACATCGTGNATTTTCTTTGACTACGTGACAATTACTTGATAACATGAAAAAGACTATAGCATCAAACATAATTAATTCGCCACCTTCGATTACTTCAGCATAGGTTGTCTATTGAAAATACTTTAGAGTTAAAGCTGCACAAGAATTATTTCTCTACATTCTTTTTATACCAATTACTGCGACAATAGTCCAATAGTGTCGGTGTTGAACTGGCCCAATCAAGATCGAAATGAAATATGTAGTTGAGAGTACAAGATGATTATGTTACAGGTGGTAGACACAGACAAGAACAGTTGCTATAATGCCTTCGCCTACGTTCCCGACTTGGGCGACTACGGCGTTGTGGTGTACAGTCTGAAACAAGATGATTCCTGGAGGGTGTCCCACCATTACTTCTACTTCGAACCCCTGGCTGGCTCTTACAATGTCGGAGGCGTGGAGTTCCACTGGACTGATGGAGTCTTCAGCTTGGCACTCTCAGAGCCTAAAGAGAATGGGTGAGTTTACCTAATATTGCCTAGTTGATTGTTTTAGGCTTGTTTAACTCCTATGTCACTATTCACAATGAAGAAAATACGGATAGTTAAGTACATAGTTCTCAAAAATGTTCTATGTCACTTGCCATGAATGCGGACGATAGGTCCTAGTTCGATAACTGGTCAGTTTAGCAAATAAAAATTTATAAATTAGGTGGAATCTACATTACCTAGGTATTCTCCAAGACGACTATGGCGAAGTTGTAACAGAAGTTATTCGACTTTACAAAAAGCCCAGCATACTTAACTATCTTGTCTGGCGTAAACATAATATTAATTTTTTGAGACTCTATCTACTTTATGGCAGAAGGTCAGTAGAATGAGTTCCTTTGAACCGATCAAAGTCAGTGATAACAAGTTAATGGTTTTCAACTTGCGCCTATTCAACTAAGCATAACTGTGTACATGCATGACTGAGTCAGCTATTGATAATGTTCATGTAAAAACGTTTACAGTCAATCGATATGATGTTAAACATTTACTAGCCACTTATTTGAAGCTGTGTTAACCTAAATAACTTTAAAAGTATTTTCGAACGATATTTTTATAACATGCTACAATTAGTATGAAATTACAAATAGAGCATGCGGGTATACGAATATTAAATGAAGATAAGGGAAGGTAATTTACAAGACCTTGCACAAAACTATAAGTAGGTTTTTATGTAATCTTTGGAAAATGACCGGAAATGGTAATTAAATGAGATTTAAGTACAACTTTACGGCCATAAAACACTTACAGTTTCACTCCCAATTAGAATTTATATGTATTGCCGTTACATTTCTAGGTTGTTATGTAACATTTTGGGATCAGTTACAAACTTGCGATGTATCGAGCCGTAGTCACACGATTGAAGTCATTAAACTTGCGAGTTTATTGAGATCGGTCCACGGAGCAGTTTGACAACCGGTGAAAGGTTGAGATGCCCCGCTTCTGGTAAATATCAGCAGGCTGTTGGTGTCTGACATTGACCCCAAAACTAACCGTTCATTTATAACGGAGGTCAAGCAAAGGTCGACGTAAATACTCATTAATTTAGAATTGTTTTAGAAAGGTGCGTNGCCATGTCAATTGTTCTGCCAAAATTAAAATTTAAGTTAGGATATAACAATTGCAAAAAACAAAGATTCTTTTCCTTTGTAGTCGTAACAATTCTTGGTATTGAGCCTTGGAGATTGCGCATCGCACATATTAGGATGGAGTTTAAAGAGAAACCGTTATTTGATTTGTGCAACGTATTTTGAAATACAAAGTACCCGTATGCCATTGTGCATTGCAAAATTTGAATTTCGGCCATGTGTTTAACTCCTTCATTGAGGGATTTTTCAAATGTTATTGTTCATTGTCCACAGCTACCGAACAGTGTTCTTCCACGCTCTATCCAGTACAAAGGAGTTCTGCGTGTCGAGTGAACTCCTGCGCAATTACCCGCAAATCAACAAAAATGAAGCATTCCATGACTTCAAGGTATGTTTTAAAATAATACCATAATAGGTTAGGTTCAAAAGCCTCGTACCTATAAAAGGTCCAGTAATTAACTTATTCCTGAAACTAACATAGAATTCTCAGGCCACTTTCGCCTGATGGAACCTTTGGAAAGTGTATTTTATAACTAGCAAACATAAATTCCACAAACACTTGACTGACTGTAGCTGTGACTAAAATAGTTTTACGTATCGACTGGCGACAATGGCACACGTTGTGCATAAGATATCAAAGAGGTACGATAGATGTAATCCGTTATGTATAGATACATAACGTTTTTGTTGTTACTGTTTTGCGTCATTATATTCATAATGATGCGGTATCTGTACCACATTAACAAGATATTAATTTAAATTTTAATGAAAAACGAATTAAAAGATATTTTAGGATCAATTCTAAACTAGAACGGGACCTAAGTATTCCCACTTCACGTTTCCACCGCTGCAACTCCTGTGTAGCCAGGATCTACAGCTTGACCGCCAATAAAACCCAACCAGTGAAGGTCAAGTTTTTTCCCGGGGGAAAGTTAAAAAACTGTCATTGGACCCGCAACGAAATTAATCAGAAAAATAGGAGTTCCATAAGTTAAGGTTCATTCATCAATTCTCAGCTAGCTACTCNCAAGGTAAGGACATCCTTAATTTAAAAAAAATACCATTAGGTCCAAAGGACCTTTTATTCCTACAAGGATTTTAGACTTCTACTTATTAACTTATTTCTGAAACTAACATAGGATTCTCAGACTAGGTACTTTCTCCTGAAATTTTGGAAACCTTTGGGAAGTGTATTTTATTGCTAGCAAATAATTTAATGCTAGCAATAACAATAGGTCTGGCTGGACTGACTGTGTAGCTGCAGTAGCTGTGACTAAAATAGTTTCACGTATCGACTAGCGGCAATAGCACTCGTTGTGCATAAGATATCAAAGAGGTAGGATAGATGTAATCCGTTTTGTATCTAGGTATAACGTTTTTGTTGTTACTGTTTTGCGTCATCATATTTATAATGATGAGGTATCTGTACACATGAAAGTTAAAAAACTGTCATTGGACCCGCAACGAAATTAATCAGAAGAATAGGAGGAGTTCCATAAGTTAAGGTTCATTCATCAATTCTCAGCTAGCTACTCATAACTAAACGACTTCATCATTGTTACACCTGTTGCATCCCACAGTTGGGCAAAAACCTTCGCGTGGGAAGTAGGGCGTCTAACACTATTTATCTGTATGATTATAGTGATCAAATGATCAATCAATCATTGCCTTTTTTCAGCTGCTTGGAGACAGAGGTGAACGCACGCAGTCATCAGCTAGCGTCTACGATGCTAACAACACCGTGCTATTTTATACTCAGGTAAATATTACTTCATACCTACATATAATGTGAAAGTTTTTTTATTGATTGAGATGTTTTATTACAGCATGTATTTAAAAAAGATTAATGCTTCGTCTAAGTATTTATATACCAATGTTCTTAACTATCCAACTCTGAAAAAGTAGCTCCTAGAACCTGGTTAAGGATATGCGTGGTCAGTTAGTTAGTGATTATTAGTGCTGTAGTAATTAGTGTTTAATTTATAAAGTACTAGCTGACCCGGCGAACTTTGTTCCGCCTTAATGGCAATAAATAAGCAGACTTTTTTTTAAATTTCGAACGGGATAAAAAGTATCCTATGTCCTTCTCCTGGCTCTAAACTACCTCCCTGACAATTTTCAGCTTAATCGGTTCAGCCGTTCTTGAGTTATAAGTGGAGTAACTAACACGACTTTCTTTTATATATATAAGATATTATTGCATCATAATTGAATTGATTAAGTGCAAATCGCGTGAAATCAACATTCCATTTCTTGACACTAAATGTGAAACAACGCAGTAACAATAATTTACTTACTTACATACTAAACAATAAACGGTAAATATTTTAGTTTTGTGAATGTGTTGCAATTTATACTTTACAATATCGCATTCTAGACCAATTTATTTATACTACTGCTTTAAAATTTGAAAGCATTAAATATGAATGAAACATGAAACATTACGACCGATCATCAAGGTGATCACCTTCTCAAAGCAGTTTTTTGCAATGGTTAAAATTAATGACATTATTCTAAATATAGGTTCATAATTATCCTAGTGGAGATTATGTAGCTGTGAGCCATTTAAGTAGCAAAAACTTTTTGAATACTTGTCTGGGACTTATGGGGCTTACCAGGGCTTACCTAACTATTTTAATTTATGTATGAAAAAATCCTATTGGATTAGTGCTTATTAAATCCATTACAAGAATTATGCATTTGTTACAAGCATTTGAAAAAAATAACAATAAGAACTACAAACTAAACAATTAAGGCTGAATTGCATCACATAACTTTAACCGTAACAATTACAATAACCGGTGCCTTTTGTGGGATTTGTCAAATTTTTGACGTTTGTCAAAGTTAAAGTAAGCCAGCCTAAACATGTGATTCAAATATTAATTAGTCAGCTAAAATGTTAACTTGGAAATTCAAGCTATTTAGGCTGTAGCTGTATCCTCGTTTATTTAATTGCACCTTTTGGTAGAGCTAACCTAACGAGCTGGTAGTTAAGCTCATAGGTGTTTGGTCTAAAAGCATAGACACTCGTTAAACTAGTTATACACATGCCTATTTACCTCTATCTTAACTCCATAAAAAGGTACTCACTGGTTCCTTTCTGGAATCCATTCAGTAATAGGTGTTTTTTCTTATTTATCGTCATAATTTTACGATAATCACAACATGAGTTTAACGTGTTTTAACTGTAGAAACTTTTGATTTTCTTTGAAGTTGTGTTCTAAATGACATGAATTTTCTTGATTGCAGGTGAACCGCGATGGTATCGGCTGCTGGAACTCCAACAAGCCCTACACTCCTGAAAACAACCCCCTTATCATCTCTGACCCAGTTCTCTACGAGTTCCCCAATGATTTGAAGGTAACAAGATCTTTGATGGTTTAGAATTTATATAATACAGATAGCTAAGGACTTCAGAATTATTGAAAAAAAAAAGTGATTCATAAGTGATCAGGAATACAATCCTTGTATTAACACGAGATCTTTTGTGTAGACACGTGTGTCAATGTTATAGATAAATTCTTTAGCTTTATCTAATCTTTTTTGAAAATTAAGGTAATTTCTTTTTGCATTTATTCCAGATCGACAATGAAGACAACCTGTGGATCTTGAGTGACAGAATGCCGAGGTTCATCTACAAGTCCCTGGACCCCAACGAGGTCAACTACAGGATATTCAGCATCAGCACCGCGGACGCCATTGCCGGCACCGCTTGCCAATAAATTAATCATTAATTTTACGATTTCTACGGAAATCCTTCCTTAGGCCTATTACGTAACTGCTGACTAGTTGCCCCAGTCACTTTCAAGTACAATTTTTCTCACAAATTCTCTAGTTTTAATAATTTTGTAGAGCAACCAGTTTAGAGCGAGTTGCGTAACTGGTCATTTATTTATTAATTCCAGTTGACCATCTGATCATATTTTTTATTGCTCACCTACTTATTCTAACAAGTAGGTAGGTAACATAAATCTGTTTAATAGCATCACGTCATTTGTTTTTTTTTAACAAACTGCTAATAATAGTTTTATGTGCCTTTTTCCTGTGATGCGGATTTTGGCACGCATGCGGATCTGGTCCGCGTGCATGTAAAATCACGCAGCTGGTGTGCGCAGGGCAAAGATTTCGTATTGTGTTCCCGCAGCCAATCCGCATTCCGCGTGCGTGTAGCCCCGTAATAGGAGAAACATGTATGAAATTATGAAATACGGGCCTTCCGCATGCGGATTAAATTCGCACGCGTGCCGAAATCCGCATCACTGAAGAAAACTCTAAGACAATAAGTATTGTTGTTCAGTGATAGAAATTAGAAAATATAAAAAGGTAATCAGTTTACTACGGGAAGTACTGATCCTGAATACTGATGATAACTACTTATAATATCTAATTTAAATTCTTATAGAAATGACAATGAAGAAATGAGAGTTTTTAAATGCAGCTTAGGTGCAAAATTAGGTAAGTAGATCTCGCTAAAATAAGTTGGTTATGTGTACCTGTAAAAGAAATCATAAGTGCCTATGTACAACAAGTGGACTCAAAGAAGATAGGTATTGTGTTACGAAGTTATCGTAATTTATTTTTACCAAAATATTTTTAATCGCATCTTGGTTAGTTTCAAAGTATTTATAAATTATCAAAAGCTCATTCAAATAGTTATAGCATTTAATTAAGAGGAAAGAAAGATTAATAGTAGACCACAAGTTCATGTTATATCAACTTTAGACAATAGTAGGATCGAGAGTAATTTGAATTTTATTCATTCCAGTAAAGTCACTTACAATACAATTTTGAGGTGATTAGGTATCACAAATTAGGAATAATATTCGGTGATAATAACATAACTGTTATTGTTTCAGCATTATCATGACAGTATTAAGATTTTTTTCTGTGTGTTTAATAATATTTGCCAATAAAAGATTATAACATAAAACGTGTTGTATTATTGTGTTATCATCGCTCAAAATTAAAAGTACCTAGGTACCTAAGTATTGTTTAGTTTAGAGGTAAGATTGTCAGTTCCTCTGAGGATTCTGGGTGAAATTAATCGGTACACAAGGCGATCTTAATGCCATTGGGCATTCTTTGCCAGTTAACCTTTGGGCTAAGAAGAAATTTCCGTGAGATGCAGACAACGTGGTTTCCAGCACTAGTTAAACAATATATTATTTACTTAGGTAGGTATTTAGTTAGTAGGTAACATTGATGATTGTGATTGGATTGAATTTTTAATATAAGAACTTTATTGTTTTCACAAGTACATACATGGTTGGGTGTCCTGATGATGCGTTCCAAAATGCGTACCTACCTAAACCAGAAACATCCTCTTGCATCAGAAGAAAAACCCAAAATATCTGTAAGCAATTAGGAGCAATCGTTATTTCAACAAGACCTACTTAATAATATCGCTCATCTTTCATTAGACGTTGTTTATCATACAATTTTTCTCTTCAAATAGGTATTTTCCCTGGTTTTCCACTTCGTTTATAAAAATAATTTTAGCTTTCCTGTTTTCTTCCACTGTGTTTTGTGTAATATCTATTTATAACTTTCTTTTCTATCTATTCGTACCTAGATATCAATCTGGTTTATGTTTTTCGACTTGGGCTAAACGTGTTTTGAAAAGTAAGTAGTCCACGATGCAAGGAAAAAAACATCTGAGACGATTCGATTACTAATTTTATAAAAACTTTCCTTGTTCGATCAAGAGAACACGGCCACTGAGATTCAATTTACGTCCACCAGTATCTACACCATTAAACAACGACTTAAAGCTTTTCAAAGGCAGTCGACTTTGTGTCCGCAGTAATAGACTATATTTTCCCTTATTTGTTGTCCTCATATTGTACGAACCGATAACTTGTTTAGTGATGGTTATATACTTCGTGCAGTTTGACTCAGTGTCATTCAAGACTTGGGTACCGACAGTCGAACACCGCTCGTTAACACAATGGCGCCAAAATTCAAGACTGAAAAAGTAGGGATCGTTGGAAGGTAAGCACAATACATAGCATTACAAACCATTGAAACCCAGTGTTCCGTACGATATACTTCACCTTGAAAGTTGCATGCTTTTTGTATGACAATAAACGTTACTAGCTTTAGGTATTCAATTGTGCTGTTAGGTCAAGGAAAAGTAAATAATTATATGATATGTACAATCAAAACATATTTTGACTACTTACCTATTCATATTTAATACAAGACCTTCGGTAGGTCCTTTTATAGAAGTTAAGTAGCTTGGGCAATCAACTGAAATAAAGAGGTTCTTCCGATTTATTTCTCATCTCGCTTCGAGCATCACTAAATAATAACAAAATTAAGTAAAAATAAAATATGTATAATATAATAAATAATATTATGTATAACTCATGCTTAGTTTAAGTAATTAATAATTGCATTAATTAACTATAATTTAAAATTATCAATTAGAAAATAGAGGTGTCATTTTTAATTAAATTTCATCTGAAAGGAGTAATTAAAATTTAATAATAATATGTGGATGACATGATATTTCTCAAGGATATTTACAAATTACTGACCTATCAATTTTGTACCAAAACTGTAAGGTACCTAAGCTTTAGCAAAACTGATGATAACCATTATTTTTATTTACACTTGTTCTCTTGAAAGATAAGAATATCGCGAAGTCAACAGAGGTTAATTTACATAATAAGATAATTGATAACATCTGAATATAGACCATAAAACAAATCACAATATTAATATACTGAAAACTAGTAGCAATATTTTCATTGATATTTTAAAAATACTACAAGGATGCACTAACTCTTAAATGTAATGCAATTCGGTAGGAAAGGAAAACTATAATTAGGAAAATGCTCTTAAAATGCTGTAATTAGTTTTCTAGCTACTTAGTTAATATATGTTATTAAATAATTTCATACGTAATTTGGTCGTAATATTAACAAAAGAAACAATATTTTAAAATAATAGCGCGTGAAATACATTACAGTTAAGGACTGAAACTCTTAAAATACTCATGTTCAATTAACATTTCAAAATTTTTTTTTCTGGAAATTACCTACCTACTACTTAAAAGTTCATTAGGTGGCATTTTAGTTCCTTCTAAGATGACGTTAATTAGATGTTTTCTTCTGGATGTTAATAAAAAACACAAGTCCATCGCCATCAACAAATAAAGAAGAAGAAGGATGTTAAAGGGTAGTACTTACTACCCAACATTGTTGAAATAAAACGCGACCATAACAGCGTATTACTTACACATGAAAATTTCGACAGGTTCATCCAGTGTCTAAGTAGCTCAGTTGGAAGAGCAGTCCAAGTACCGCCTTAGGCAGTGAGATTTTTTCAAGTTGTTTATTTATGACATTAATTAGGTCCTACTGAATGTTCCAGCGGTCTCATCGGTCGCTCCTGGGCGATGCTGTTCGCATCAGTCGGCTACCAGGTGACGGTGTACGACATCGTGGCGAAGCAGGTTTCCGATGCCTTAGAAGACATCAAGCTGCAGCTCAAGACCTTGGAGAAGGACGGCCTGTTGCGAGGAACGCTCAATGCTGATGAACAGTTCCAGTGCATCAAAGGTATGTGTTAGAGAATTGGCATAGCTATACGAGACGGTACATCAAGCTTTTTTTAAAAAGCAAGCTGCTTTTCTGACCGGTTGCATTTGCTGCTTTTTCTACAGACCGCTTCAGAATAGCCTCTTAACAAGTGAGCTTACACTTTATTGTGCACCACACAAGACAAGAAAAGAAAGGTAAAGAAATATATACAAAAGATACGGCACAATTTAGGCCGCCTTATCGCTATATAAAAGCGATTTCTTCCAGACAACCTAGAGAGAGCTATTATAAAAAATATAGTCTTCATAAATGTGTGGTCGACTGTACAATTGTTTAATTTTAATAGCCTAAACTAGCCTTCAAATGTGCGAAGGAAATCAGCTTATAATATTTGCAGCTGCAAATAAGTATGCGGAAGAAAATACAACATGTGTAAGGTTGGTTAATTTTAACATTGAACAACTGGTTCAGTAGTTATAAGTAGGATGTTGCACCCAAAAACTGAAGTTGAGTTTGCAAGGTTCTACTTGCTTTGGCCTTCACCAATAACTACCTACCTGCCTATTATATTACTTATTGAAGTCATTTTACCCATTCTTTTAATTTGAAAAACCCGGAAGTCTACCCATAATGGCTCTTTTGATGCACTTGACTGCTGTTATTCATAAATCATAATATATACCGTTATCTACGCCTTCTGAGAATACTACAAGTATTTAAGTACCTACGTATAATAAGTTCCATAGAAGCATCAAAACAATACGATTGTTACGGCATATCAGTATGATGTACTAGGTAACTAACTATCGATTACTGTGAATAATGCACTACCTCTATTTCAAAGTGATAAGAATCATACACAAACCAACGTGAATGGAGTGCACTTAAAACCATAGTAAAAATAAACTACTTAAGAGAACTATGTGTTGACTACCTATCACTTACCTACTTATAATACTTTAACCTACTCGTATGTACTTAGATAAAGCGGATGAACTATGTAGATAGGCTCTATATTAAGAGTTACGAAACATTAAACTCACGCACGATCTACTAGGTAAGTACCTACTTTATCATAATGTAGGTATAGGCAGCTATCTTATACTTAATGTTTTAGTACCTTAAATGGCTTTCTCTAGCTAGATGTACCTATAAATAAACTAAAACAGTTGACCAAATAATAAATCTTTCCATGAGGTCTTTCTTATAAAAATAAGAAGCGTCCATATTAATACTACCTACATAATTATCAGAAGTACGAGTAAAGTAAGAAAGTAGGTACTTAGTCATAGGAAAAATGTAAACGTAAGTAGCCGCGGGAAGAGCCTGGATGCGGGCAGCGCAGGACCGTGCATTGTGGAAAACCTTGGAAGAGGCCTTTGTCCAGCAGTGGACGTCATTTGGCTGAAACGAAACGTAAGTAGTTCGTCATCATTATTTCAGCCATAGGACGTCCACTGCTGATCATAGGCCTCCCCTAATACTTTCCACGTTGATCGATTTTTCGAACGTAAGTAGTTAGTTACCTACATAACTTAAACGATAGGCAATGCAAGGAAGGAGAAGAAAAATAAATAAATGGCTACATAAATTGGTGGTTTCTTCCAGGATCTACTGATCTGGCCACCGCAGTAAAAGGCGCGATCTTCGTCCAGGAATGCGTGCCCGAGAGCTTGGAATTNTGTACAAGATGATCACTTTGTAAGGTTTTGCAAAAAATGAAATATTTTAATGAAACCTTAATTAATTTCTGGTTTTGAGTATAAGGAAAGTTGGATAGATAAATATACTAGTAGTAATCGTCTTTATTTTTGGTTTACCTTGAAAAATATGTATTTTACAGCGATTCCCGCTTAAGGGGATCATCTCGTACTACTTTCCCCTACTAAGTACATAAAATATATCGAAGAGCTCAGTCTTAATGTGGATCATTCCCCTAATAATCATTGGAGCAAATTTATTTTTTGCAGAAGATAAAATTAAATAGATAATACCAGAAGCTAACGCATTTTCTTATTAAATAGGTATGTCCTACAAGTTTCACGATATTAAAGTAGGTTTGAGTATAGGTACTTTAATTTACTTATGCATCAAATTCACAATAATAGGACACGAATAAGTATACGTTATTAAAATGTACCGAAGCTGTATTGTGACGAATTTAATTTATGCCAAGTTTGCACTGACCACTTTTATGGTACTCGTAACAATGAACTTGGTTGACGTACAATGAAGTAGTTCATTTTTATAGGATGTCTCTTCAAAATAGTTGTTTTGAATTTACAGGTCATTGTCTCGCACCCAGTGAATCCTCCTTACTACGTGCCACTGGTGGAGATAGTTCCTGCACCATGGACCACGCAGGAGGTCGCCAAGAAGACGAGGGAAATCATGCAGGAAATCGGTCAGGAGCCGGTTTCTCTTTCCAGACAAATCGATGGATTTGTGCTGAACCGCATACAGTGAGTTTCTTTTTTTATATGGGTACTTAATTAGATCCCAGAAGCTAGGTATATGTAATTGCGACGAAAGACGACGTCGCATTCTGGATATGGAGGGGCAGAATTAGTACCATGGAAGGAGTCCTAGTGTGGTTTCTTCTCTCATTGTCTATACTTACATAATCACAGGAAAATTATGTTCATAGTCTTCCGACTGATATGATGCATTTAAGTAGTAGAAAATAAATGGTAATTAGAGAACGATATATACAGGGTGTTTGGAGCAAGTAATTTGCCTATTTGTAGATCTTATCTTGTTTTACTTATACTTAGGGCGGGACACCATGGCGGCGCAACCAGTCGCCGGCTACCAACAAACCTTAATCTTAAGTAAACATGTTTTATTTTCAGATACGCCATCCTGAACGAGGTCTGGCGCCTGGTTGACGATGGCATCGTGGACGTGAAAGACATTGACAAGGTCATCTCCGAGGGCCTCGGCATGAGATACGCCTTCTTGGGCTCTTTGGAGACCGCTCACTTGAACGCTGAGGGCATGAAGAGCTATATTGAACGGTAACCAAGCCTAATGTATTTTTTTTCTAAAGCTCCATCGGAAGTTAAAAGCAGCAAAAACATGTCTTTGCACATTTTGGTAGACTTTCAATGTTCAAATTCATTAAATTTTCGCGTAAATAAGTACAAAACCTATATGAAAGTGTCCATGCCGGTTTTCACCATTAATGCCTAATTTTAAAGCGACCCCTGTGGCGTACACCTAACAGGAATTTTGTTTTCATAGGAGTCACTTAAAAATTTTAATTAGGGATTGGTGGTGAAAACGGGCATAAGACATGTTCTGGATTGATTACAGTCACCTTGTACTACCTACCGAAATGCTCTATAATCGTACCTACGAGTAGTTATCAGCATTGTAAAAAAGTAGTATAAGTAATCGTGATCTTTATGTACGCACATAGGTGCACATTACTCGTCTTTGTGATTCAAGTAATTTCGCTACTAATAAAATGCGCTTGTTCTATAGATATGGGGAAACAATCTACAGCGTCAGCAACACCTCTGGCCCGAACCCTCGCATGACGCAGAGCAAGAGCGCGGACAGCATCTGTCAGCAACTGAACGCGATGGTTCCCCTCGACCGCTTGCAGGAGCGCCGCGCCTGGCGGGACGCCTGCCTCACCAGGCTCGCACTCCTCAAGAAGGAAATGAACAAGAAGTACAAGCAATAAAGTTCCTAATTATCAACAGCTGTAGATCGGTTTTGGCGGCTACCGTCAAATATGATCTATGCCTATACTATACTATACAACTATACTATACAAGTGCCTTGTGAGATGCATAAGGATCATTAATTTATTTATCACACAAGCATTTCAAGAGCGCTTTTTCAGTGTGAAAAATACTATACTAAATGCTGCATTTCTCGAAAATAAGAAAACAGCTATTAATAATAGCAGCAGCTGTTTCTCAATAATATTATTATCGTGCATAATGTACCTAATACATACCTACTTATAATGTTGTTGCTCATAAATATACTACAATAATAAATTGAATGTTTTAAATTATATTGTGTTTTATTGTCATTTACTAATTTACCTATAGGAAACGTAGGCTAACATTGTACCAAAACCAACTATTTGGTAGTAGGTATCTCTACTACGAGTGTTTTTTGCTTTTTTAATACTAATATTTTTTATTTATTAATCAACATCACATAAAATCAACATAATAAAACACACCGGGCGCGAGCCCGCCGGCAGACGATACTTAGGATTTCTTATGCCTACTTTTGTAGGCACTTGTGATCAGTAGTATCGACTCTCCTCAAAATACCGGACATTGTTCTGTCCGGTATGAGTGACCATTTATTTTTTACCGGACATAATGTCTCGAAAATACCGGACTGTACGCTTAAATACCGGACATCTGGCAACCCTATTTGCAATAAGTAGTTTTGCTTTTTATGAGTTCAATATTTACAGTACAGTTGATTTTACCCTTAGTTGGCCGATAGTTGTGCCCGATTTTAAATTGTATGAAGAATCGGCCAAATCGAATCGGCGTAGTATGTGCAGTCCCATACATGCCCATACTGAACAACTGCCCGACTAAACTATCCGCCGACGAAAAATCAACGGTGTGCGCCTACTCTAAAAGCCGAAAAAAAGCTACTTTTTCTCAAACTCAAGTTAAACGAACGATCACTTTTTAATTTTGCTGTTTTTTAGTGAAAAAATAAGGTGTTCGGACTTTTATTGGAAAGTGATTAAATCAGTTGTTTCGTCTTTGTTTGCGCATAAACTTTACCGCGATACTGAATTTGCACCTCATAGTATATGATACCGCTATACAACGACCTTCATCGAGATGCTTATTTGATGAAACATATTTTATATTCAATTTAACATGTCAATAATTATATTGCTTAAGGGTTGCCTAATAAATTTCAGTCCAGGATATGATTAATTAATCATTTAAAAAAGATTTTTTTTTTAATATTTCAACGGTTTGACTATTATACAAACTCCATACCAATCGAAAGTATGAAGCCCATAGAATATGCAAACGTTAGGTTGCCTATTCTTTTCCAGTCATAACTCTCGGGTTGCCAGGTATAAACAGGTAAATTGATTTGCATCGGTCTGATAATTTAATCAAATTTAAATGAAAATAAAGATTATTTCATTATGAACACGGTGGTATAGGGTTGCCTGCGAAAAATCAGTCCTGAATGACGGTTGTCGAATTTTGTAAAGTGAAATTAAAACTGATAGGTAACATTTTTCGAGTAGTTGGCAACATTTGGGAAAGACGAGTTGTATGAGGCGTTTGTGTGTCTCGTCAAGAGGTGTCGCTTGGGTGAAGAAATTTCTCCAGTGTTGCCATGCTTTGGGAGATTTGGTCCAAAAATGTCGAAAGTGGAAATAACGACTTCCGGTCAAAAATTTGGATGACGCCTCCTGCAAAAGGGTCGTACAAATGACATTTGACCATTTTCATCTCGATCACCTGGCAACACTGGCAGCTACGGGGAAAAGTATTTTTTTCGACATGGGTGTCTTTCCAAGTTAAGAACGGACAAAAGGAGATATGGCAGAAAAAATCCAAAAATGGGGTTTGGTCGGTTATACGACCCAGATTATGGGAAAAATCCGAAAATTCAGAAAATCAAGATGGCGACCGAGTGAGCGGTCATTTTGTAAAAAGTTTCAGATTTCTGATTTTTCCAATGCATTTTTTGGGCAGTTGGCAACATTTGGGAAAATCGAGTTGTATAGAGCGATTACGTAGTTTGCTAAGGAGTATCGTTTGGAAAAACAAAATTTTCCAGTGTTGCCATTCTTTGAAAGATTTGATCAAAACATGTAAAAAATGGAAATAACGACTTTTGGTCCAAAATTTGGATGACGCCTCCTGCAAATAGGTCAAACTAATGACATTTGACTATTTTTATCTCGATTACCTGGCAACACTGGCAGCTACGGGGCCACAAAATTTTGGGACTTGGGTGGTTTTAAGGAATTGTTTCACGGGATTGGTTTAAGTTATAAAAAAAGTAAAAATGGGTTTCGGCGCGGAAATGGTCTAAATTCAGCGAAAAATGCAATAAGTATGGCAAGACTGAAAAATGTTGTTTTTCCAAACGATACTCCTCAGCAAACTACGTAATCGCTCTATACCCTGGCAACCCGAGAGTTATGACTGGAAAAGAATAGGCAACCTAACGTTTGCATATTCTATGGGCTTCATACTTTCGATTGGTATGGAGTTTGTTTAATAGTCAAACCGATGAAATATTTAAAAAAAAATCTTTTTTAAATGATTAATTAATCATATCCTGGACTGAAATTAATTAGGCAACCCTTAAGCAATATAATTATTGACATGTTAAATTGAATATAAAATATGTTTCATCAAATAAGCATCTCGGTGAAGGTCGTTGTATAGCGGGATCTTAGACTATCAGCTGGAATGAAAAACGGAGCGCAAGCGCAACTGGTGAAGAAGCGCCAATGTATTGGAGAAGTTAAAAATGCCGGGCACAGAGCGCCTTTGACTGGACTGCGTTACAGAATGGTTATGGGCACAAAAAGTAAGTCAGTGCAATGTTCGTATCTTTTTTTCTTTGCTGTCTCCATGTGCTATGTACTCGAGGAATAATAAATGATTGTTTTCATTCTACGCATTATGATATTGTCTATGACTTGTGTCAAAGTAGCTAAGAAAAAAAAATACAAATTGTCTGTGGTCTTGTCTTGTGGTTGCGCGATCACTCGTATTTTATTTACCTTCAATAAAATAAAAAGCTAATTTTATATTTTACTTTAGTCCAGTTGGACATTATGTTATAAATTTTGAGAAATGTTTAAATTAAATTAAAGGTGTTACATCGTAGCTACGGTTATTTTCAATGACAAAAGGCCTTGCAAAACGCATAGATCGGATAATTTTCCTAATGTATTGTTTTGATAGATAATGGATCCAAGAATGTGTAGGAAAATCAGTAGTAGTGAAAGTCTTCCAGATGCTGAAAATGTGGAATATGAAGTATCAAACATCATTGCACCGCAAGAGAGCGAGGAGAATTTCTTGATCGAAGGAAGTCCCGAGCCAAACTCGGTAACTTGGCTGGACGACGAACAGATTGAAGACTTAGATCTTAATTTAGACCAAACTAACCTATTTTTTCATAGAGTTGATAGTGCTGATATCATATACAGAAGTAAGAAGAAAAAATGCAAAATGGTTGGGAAGTATGTGATGGGAGATGTTCTAGGGGAAGGTTCGTATGGGAAAGTAAAGGAGATGCTAGACTCCGAGTCGCTGTGCAGGCGGGCTGTCAAGATACTGAAGAAGCGGAAGCTGAGAAGAATACCTAACGGTGAACAAAATGTACAGAGAGAAATTCAATTACTGCGAATACTTAGACATAGGAATGTGATAGAACTAGTCGATGTAATGTATAATGATGAAAAACAAAAAATGTACCTTGTTATGGAGTTTTGTGTAGGTGTATTACAGGTAAGTCAATGAATGAATCAATTATCAGTTAGTCTTAGTCTTATTTACACAATTGCTTGAGATTTGTACGAATGATTTCATCAAGAAATGAGTTAAAAGGAAGTTATAAAAAAATGGCGTAAAGCCAGGATAAATTAATTTGAAACTTCTACTGACCTTTTAAGGATTAATTTAACAGACTGGTTGCATGTTTTAATGATTTACTGTGTTTTATTCATAGGATATGCTGGAATCAAGTCCTGGTAAAAAGTTTCCCCAACGACAAGCGCATGACTACTTTACACAGCTGCTGGACGGATTAGAGTACTTACATGGGCAAGGGGTCGTCCACAAAGATATAAAACCGGGCAACTTGCTTCTGACCTTGGACCAAACACTTAAAATAACTGATTTTGGAGTTGCTGAGGTATGAATCATAAAAAGTACACTCTTTGTCTGTATTATATTTAATTTTCCTTATTTTGCAGTCCATCATTGATGTTAATCAACATATTACTTGTTTACAGGCTCTAGACATGTTTTCTCCAGAAGACACCTGTTATACAGGACAGGGTTCTCCTGCCTTTCAGCCCCCTGAAATAGCCAATGGCGCAGAAACATTTTCAGGCATCAAAGTTGATATATGGAGCAGTGGAGTAACATTGTAAGTGTAAAACATATTTTTCCACTGAGTCCAAATACATAATTCATACTTTTGTTAACATGAGAAGNTTTGTTAACTTGAGAAGTAGGTACTGTAACGGTATTGTTGGAAGGATTCATGAATCAAGAATAGAAATAAGAATACAATTTCCTGATAATATCATTCATACAACATTATTACTACAAGGGACTTCATTATTATGTAGATAGAAATGTTCAGGTCACAATTTCAATACACAATGCTAAACCTGAACTATATTAGTGATTTCATTATGCCCAATACATTAAAATTTGTGTTACAAAAGAATTTCTGGAAGTTACTCATTTACTGCTGAGTGAGGCATGTTACATTTTTAAATGTAGGTCATACTAAATTACAATATAAGCAGTATCATGTTTTTATTGATATCATCAATAAATGTTGGTCTCAAATAACACAATCTAATTAAAATAAATTAATTAAATTGCAATTACNGTCAATTTTTGTCGTAGAACAAAAATTTTTGCACTGTGTATTAAGGATTTCTTAGCCCTATAAATCTGCATTTACAGCTAAAAATCGAAATGATCCTCGTTGTGAAATGCATATCTATTATTATACTTTTCAAAATTAAGTTTTTTATAACGAGAATGTTTTCTCTACATAATCTACTCTATACTTGTGTTTCTTTGAAAATGCAAAATTATTGTTGTTTCTACCACAATATCTAACTAACAAAAAGGTAGTTTACAGGTTGAAGTGCTGCTTTCATGATTGAATAAAAAAAAAGTTCATAAAACTTATTTTAATTTTGAACTTCACTACATCCATCGTCACTATTTAAAAACATCCCAACCTGAAAGCCTTTTAACCACTTGTTCGACAAAACTCAAAAACAGTTTATGCTGCCGACTGTACCCTGTGGTTTTTGCTACAATCTTTCCGCCGCTAATTAGCCAACAAGCTCGCAGTTTAGTGTTAAATTTGGTGAACAAATTTTTGTGATTCAGATTTGTAGATTAACATTTGCTGATTCTGTACTCGCACGTAACGCTGTGCGGAGAGTTTGTGGGTAGATTAACTAAAATGAGGGTTTTAGACAATTTTTGGATTTGATTTCATTTATTGGATTTAATTTTAGGACGCCTGCGATTTCGTAGGAGTGAAAATATTTTGAATATTTTTTTCCGTTTTCGGAAGTTTCATATTAGGTATATGCTACTATAGATTGTAGCGTGATAGTACATAACCTATAGCTTTTTTCCTCAATAAAGGGGCTATCCAACATAAAAATAACTTTTCAAATCGGATGTCGATCGGATGTCGGCCGATCGGATGTCGGCCGTTTGGTGTAGTGGTTCGAAACGGACTACTATTCCGGAGGTTGTGGGTTCGATTCCCGCACAGTACAAACATTTGTGTGCATGAACATATTTGTTTGTATTGGACTGGGTGTTTTCTATGTATAATATGTATGTATTTACAAAAAAAAAAAAGTATTTAAGTATGTTTATATCCGTTGTCTAGTACCCATAGTACAAGCTTTGCTTAGTTTGGGACTAGAAGCGCAGTGTAAAATGTCCAAGGATGTTTATTATTTATTATTATGTAGAAGTAGTTGTTGAGAGTAGCGCGTTCAACTAAACAAAAAAACGTTTATTTTAACAAATTGATACATATTAATTATGAAAATATACAATACACAGGAGAAATGAAGAGTAATATAATATAAGAAAAATTATATCACTGTGATGACTTTCGATCACTCTTTCTTTATTTAAAAGCAGGCGCTTTTTTTTTGCAAATTGTCCTGCGCAAACGCACAGAGGCCTCTATGGACCGCGCGTAACGTCATATGTGCTTCCTCGCTCTAATTATAGATGGCGCTTCCTACGTCACTACCCACGACCCACTCTACCATGACGTATGCGATCATAAGTCGGGTAACGACCAATAGATGTCTACATAATCAAAAATTTCAGTGAAAATACAGGGTGAAATTGCAGTGTTGTCAAAATTTTTTGATAAGCTTTATAGAACAATATGACAATATAATTTAATCATAATTATTTTTATTCGTTGTATTTTTCGAGAAAAAAAAATAGAAAGTGTAATTCGTGGGTGCCTATCGTAAGTTTTAAAAGCTAAGGCTTCTTTTCGCGCACCACAAATTGTCTACCTATCAAGCTTTGCAGTTAACTGTCTATGCGTATTTTTCTATGAACGAAGTAAATTAGGGGTCAGCCATAAAGTACGTCACACTTAAAGAGGGGGGGAGGGGGTCGACAAAGTGTGACATGGTGTGACAAGGGGTGGGAGGGGTCCTAAGTTTTGTGACATCACATTTCAAAATCTAATATATCTAGAGGTACTAATCGCGTAATTTGAAATATCGCTCGCTAAAAAGGCCGAGATCTCGCGAGATCGAGATTGCATTCCCTAATTCGGAACTGCTGTTTTAATTTAATAGTTTTTCGATGTGAAATTGCAAAACATGTGACGTCACACTAGGGAGGGGGGGGTCTCAGAAATGTGACCACCTGTGACAAGGACGGGGGGGGGCTCAAAAAATCATGAAATTCGTGTGACGTACTTTATGGATGGCCCCTTATCCACGTAAGTCAATTTTGAAACCGCACGCAGCGGATAAAAATAATAAAATATAAAAAAAGTAAAGGTAGCAGGGAAGCGCTGGACGCAGGCGGCTACCAATCGATCAATTTGGAAAGCATTGAGGGAATATGTTCAGCAGTGGACGTCCTATGGCTGAAATGATGATGACGATGAAAAAAAATGTTGTTTCCTTTACGTAAATCGATTATCTTACTGATCCCGAGTCGCACCTAAAAAGGCAACACTTAGCAATTTCACCCTGTATAACAAGCAATGCCCGTGGTTTCGCACGCGCAGTTTTCGGTATGAAAGAATAGAGACAAGTGAATTGAGGTTTTTAGTAAGAGCATGCGTGCTCAAGCTAAATCTTAATTCACAATCTTAAATCTCACATGTCCTCTTTAACAGATGGATAGCGATTAATCCCAACTTAACAGTTTTATAGCCATAAAAGTTGGCTCAAGCGTAACTACCTATTTTTTGAAGAAGTGACTCTGGATTCTTCTACAGACACATTTTTGGGGTAAAAACCTTTCCTTTAATGAAATGAAGTTTAGAACTAGGCTTTTAAATGGTAATATAGTATAGTAATATTGGTGGGAAGTGGGGATGCATACGTTTGAAAGTGCTTGTCGCGGGTGGGTCGATTTTTATGATGACCAGTGTATATGGCATCAAACTTGCCTTTTATACCGTAAATGTTACTACGTTGTATATGTACACAACTTTATGTATATGTTTATGTCAAGTTAAAAATATTAATTTCTTTCATAAAAATTAACTGCGAGCTGTAATATGATAGGATTAAAAATTGCATGTAACTAAGAACTAATTTTTGAGATCTACTTGTAAACGGTATCCATCTTTTGTTGCCACCTCTAATACAAAAAATGCTAGTCTACACTACTACTAATTTATAATAATAAAAAATAATACAACACTACTTTAGAGTGACGATGGCGAATTTACCGTATACATACGTAATATAACCATTGAAGTAATATTACTGTACGTAGTACATTATAGCTCAATGAATATAACAAGCAAAACGCTCTACAATATTGCTCTGTAGGCGATGACGAAGGGCGACTTGAACCCAGACAGCGCGGCCGCCGCGACGTAGTGGTAACGCTGAGGGCGCATAGATGGCGCGCTCTGTACACTAGCTCGCGATTTCATTTGATTTTTTCCATTTAAATAAGACCTAACCGTAATATTCAATTGGTACGCATGTAAAGAGTGAAGGAAAATTTCATCGTCTTCATCTTAAATTTTTGAAGGCGCACTCACTAGTATCCTCCATACGATACTATGTAAGTGCGTTAAGAAACTTTAATGAAGTATGCACGTTCTATGAGCATGTATGAAGCGATATATAATTTTATCGTGGATGACTTTAATGTTGTTGCAAGCCATACATTTCAATTTCAAATGATAAATAATTGTCATCTAAAATCGATAAAATATTGCGATAGTATTTTATCTAGCTCAAAGAAGTCTGATTCTGACTTTTTCACGATTTTGTCTAAAGACCGTTTTGTTGGTTTGTCAGTTCCAAGCAAATAATAATGTATTTGCATACTGCGACCATACGTAAGGGCTGGTACAGACTTGCCCTAGCGTCAGCATTATTGGCAACTTCAGACTCACATTCAGACTGATTCTTAAGTTCAATGTGATCGGTTGGAATTTTAATATTTTCAATAAAAACATGAATCCTATGCTTGAGTTTTATCAGGTTTTGTATCGTGATACTATATTAATTTTAGACGAGAAATGGCTTAGGTTTGTTATAAATCTATACTAATATTATAAAGAGGTAAAGTTTGTGTGTTTGTACCTATATTTGTTCAATTGTACTATCTCGGGATCCACTGAACCGATTTTAAAAATTCTTTCACCAATAGAAAGCCACATTATTGCTGAGTGTCATAGGTTATAAAAAAACCGAAAAATTCCAGGCGGGCGAAGCCGCGGTGGGGAAGCTAGTCAATAATATTCTTAGTAAGATTTTATCGTGATGCACATTATAGATCTACAGGACCTTCTTAATCTGAATCTGGCTTTTGGTAGGGTGTATGTTAACTCAAGGCTGCAAGTCGTTTCTGTATCCCTCTAGGATCTCACCGCTGGGACATGAGCATTTGAGCAACGATACTACTATTTGGTTTATGCGATATCGTATGCGAATTTGGTGTCTAATGCTCCCAAATTGTCCATTACCGACGCACTCGCAAAACCGCTAATAGCCAACACTCAAGGTGGCCCGACGGCGCCTGATACGGCCCTAAATGATTTAATTTGTCGTCTAACCACCTTGCACAATATGCCCTATTACTGATCCATTGTACGATCATGTAATCGTCCTTAAACTAAACAATGTCAATGAATATAGATCATAGAGCAATCTAGTCACGTCCTGAATTATTATTGGAACAATCAAACAATAATAGCGATTTTAATTGGTTATTGGAAAGCCAAAGCATATTTGGTTTAGTTCACTTAGTTTTAAGTTATCTAGAGCGAAGTATAAAATAACATCAATCGCGAATTCGTGGTATTTAAAATACCTCTAAGTTATATTTAAAACAAGTCTCAAATAAATGCAACCCATTATAGCATATTATTGGTTTCAAACTTGACTAAATAATTTATCTTGGGACTGCTTTATGACACGACTCTATGCTTTCCACCTAGGTACCGAATGATCACAACATTTTGTTATCTTCTATTAATCAGCATAAGATAATGGCGAATTATAATAATTTATTGACGAAGGCGATCCCGATTTTAATGAAATCAAGTGTGTAAGTGCTCCTGATGACATTAATTGCCTTGTCAATAAAATTATGCTACGTTAACCTCTAAATCTGTAAACCTTTGAAAAAGAGGCTGACAATAGTGTCTGAGTTTCTTGCGCTGCTTCTTCTCAGCACTGGCCCATTTATTGTCCTGAAGCAGTGGTAGGGTTAATACTGGGACGTGTAAAAGTGCTTTTTAAAGCCTACTTACAGAAATAAATGAGTTGTACTGAGTTTTACTGAGTTTTAAACTTAGATGGCTCGTTCCCTTAACCTATCACGTAAGTATGCACCAGTAGGTCTTTGTAGGCAAATTGCTGGCAACCACGGAAGTTCTTTTCTCAGGTTACAAGTTGCAATATGTTATAAATGGATAAGTAGTTAATTGCTCTACGGATTTAATTAATTTAATTTATTTCTAGCCAACTCCACTGCCTCTAGTTAGTACATTACATACTACTTTTTGTCCACAGCTTCGCCCGCGTCAATTTAGCGTGTCATATATCGTTATCCTACTTCCTTACTATAATATTATAAATACGAAAGTTTGGATATCTGGATGTTTGTTACTCTTTCACGCAAAAACTACTGAACGAATTTTGTTGAAATATTTCAGTATTATTGTTTGTATCCCAGATTAACATAATGGGGATGTTGCCTGGGTCAAAAAGCAAGAGTTTTAATTAGTCCGTCAGTTAACTTATCAAAAAATACTCTACACGTATTTTTTACTTTTTCAAACTAATGAAAATTTAAAGAGATAAAGCGCCCCAAAGTTCATAAGAAGAGGCCCGTGACGTCAACGCTTGCTTAAAAATGCCGCACGTTGTGACGTCGTGCGCAACTTCAACGCACCAAAACTATGTAATTATTTGTTAGATTGACAAATAAAAATATACGTGTCCAATATTTTTTGATATTAAACATTACGGACTAAAAAAATTTTTTTAGGCAACTAGCCTATTATAAGCTATAATTTATGCCGATTTGTGTCACTAAATTTCACGCGGGTGAAGCCGAGGGCAAAAGCTAGTAAATTTATAGTTTATAAGTTAATATGATGTATAATCAATAATGCTGTAAAGTTGAATCAAAAGTTTTTGCTTGAAAGAGTAACAAACATACATACACACTTTGGCATTTATTATTAGTACGATTTTTGAATTCATCAGTCAAAATGGCAGACGTTCCATAAAGTCTTCAATTTATACCGGAATATTACAAACCAGATCACCGCACGAAATAAAGTACGCGTCAATCCAGAACGAGGAGTTAATTAACGAGAAAAGTACCGAAATTGACGGGGATCAAATTAAATGTAGACTGACTGGTGCCAGTGTCACAGGCGACACACGTAGGAGCACTACTGACACTGACATTGAAGACGTTGGGGTGTTTTCCATTTGCGCCTATAATTGGCCATATAAGACCGCCTAATTGTACCTTGTGTGTTCCTTTTCTTCTGTTATGTTATTTGTACCTATGTTTTATGAATAAATATATTTGAATTTGAATTTGTTTGGTGTGCAATAAAGTGTATTNAAAAACGGACAGATTAAGGCACTAACAATATTAAAATACTATTTCAAAATACATGAAATTGTTGAATATGTGTGTACGAACGTAACACCCGAAACGATGGAATGACTCTTTGGTCAAATTGACACTTCACATACTTCCCCACCGTTACCCACAAATCAAAGCATATGGCAGATGATCATGGTTTACACAAGAAAATAGTATGGTTGCAGAAAGTAGGTAGGTATTGCAGAAAATAGTAGGTTAGGTTAGGTTAGAACAGTGACCCTTAACGCGCGAAGGCGAGCGAAGCGTGCCGCGGCAGCGGCCGCCGAGCGCTAGAATCACCTCTATTGTTAATGAATCATTTGGAAATTTCGATAAAAAGAATGAAATATGAAAATTAATTTAGAACAAATTTTATATTAACTACCCACTAAACAAAATAATAACCACAAGCTAATCTGTATTCCATTCTATGCACGAATCAAATTATTTTGTAAATAGTTTGTCGTGAAATATTTTTGACAAATGAAGCATTTGGCAAAACATACTTTGCCAAACAATAATTTGCTAAACAATAATATGCCAAAAACGACATTTGCGAATTAAAAGTTTGCGATAAGTTGTTTTGCCAAATGAAAATTTGCGAAACGTTGTTTGCGATGTGATAATTTGGGAAACGTTTTTTGGCCAAACATTAGTAATCCTGCAATTACACATCCTTGAAGATAACTGTTCATTCAGAATAGACTATAATTAAGCTTTGCTACTTTTATCGATTCTTTCTTAGCATAGTCCAATGTGAATGTTTCTTCATTGTTGTGATTGGAAAATAGGCCGTTGCATTAATTGTATCTTAGAGTTGATTAGAGAAGCCTGTGCTCCTGTATTGGAGACTACATTGACTGGCTGATGATGGTCTGGTGACCAGCATGGCTAGCGCCAAGGTGACAAACTAGGTGGAATACTGTTGCAACATTAAATGTTTGTCTGGCAACATTAGTTTTCCTCTCTCTGTCAATTGTACTAGTTGTGTCTACTGAATTAGTTTTTTATTTATAAAATAGGGTCATATAAATCTACATCATCCAGCCATCAGTCCACCACCCATCGCAACTTACTATGGCCCGGTTTTCTTTCACTAAGGCGGAGCGGAACGGAGAAGTGGTTTTGAATAACCAATCAGATTTCATTATTTCTACTTCTCCTTTCCGCTCCGCACAGCTCCGCTCTTAGCCACCGCGGCTGACAAATTCTATAAAAAAATTTGACGGCCCGACATTTTACCGCTCCGCTTTGGTGGAAACCGCGCTTAAAACTTCCAATTTCAAGTCACTATGACAGGGTTGGCGAACCAATGGCACGCGTGCCAATGATGGCACGCGACATAATATTTTGGGCACGCCACCAATCACAAATTCAGTAATTCAATAGTAAATAATGTGTTTTGATTATGAGGTAACGTAAGGTCGTGTCACTCACCAGTGGTGCCACTTTATAGCATTCGGTGTTAATTTTAATGGCACGTGTCTATGACTACTTCAATTTTTTTTTAATTAGTGGCACGTTCAAACTTAAAGGTTCGCCATCCCTGCACTATGACGTCTCCCCAGGTACAACATGACGACGGGCCGGTACCCGTACGAGGGCGACAACGTGTACCGGCTGCTGGAGGCCATCGGGCGCGGGGAGCCGGCGCCGCCGCCCGCCGCGCTCGGGCCCGCGCTCGGGGCGCTGCTCTCCCACATGCTGCAGCGGGAGCCAGAGCGCAGGCCCACCGTCAACGAGATCAAGAGACACGCGTGAGTATAGTCTCCTTCTAGTGTCCATAAAGGCTACATTAGAGGTTCTGGCACTTCTGGCATATGAGAGCGATAACGTGTACTGGTTGCTAGAAGCGCTCGGGGTGCCACACTCGCACTTGCTGCAGCGGGAGCCCGAGCGCAGGCCCACCGTCAACGAGATCAAGAGACACGCGTGCGTATAGTGTCCTTCTAGTCCATAAAGGTTACATTAGAAGCTCTGACGTATGAGGGCGACAACGTGTACCGGTTGCTAGAAGCGATCGAGCGCGAGGAGCCGACGCTCGATGCGCTACTCTCGCATAAGAAACTAGACTCCAAGATGAGACCGACCTTACGCGCGTCAGTATACTTACGGTTTTGTACCTCAACGCACTATCCACAAAGGTTACATTAGCGTATGAGGGCGACAACGTGAACCGGCGCTTCGCGGGTTATTCTCGCACATGCTGCAGCGGGAGCCCGAGCGCAGGCCCACCGTCAACGAGATCAAGAGACACGCGTGAGTATATTGTCCTTCTAGGGTCCATAAAGGCTACATTAGAAGCTCTGACGTATGAGGGCGACAACGTGTACCGGTTGCTAGAAGCGATCGAGCGCGAGGAGCCGACGCTCGGTGCGCTACTCTCGCATAAGAAACTAGACTCCAAGATGAGACCGACCTTACGCGCGTCATTACATTGGGATATTGTACCTTAACGCACTATCCACAAAGGTGACATTAGCGCATGAGGGCGACAACGTGTACCGGCGCTTCGCGGGTTATTCTCGCACATGCTGCAGCGGGAGCCCGAGCGCAGGCCCACCGTCAACGAGATCAAGAGATACGCGTGAGTATAGTGTCCTTCTAGTCCATAAAGGTTACATTAGAGGTTCGGGCATATGAGGGCGACAACGTGTACTGGTTGCTAGAAGCGATCGATCGCGAAGATCCGGCGCTCGGTGCGCTTTTTTCGCACATCCTTAAGCGGAGATTAGACCCACCTTTTGAGGGTTTTGTCAACAAGCTGAAGTGGCAATGGGCAGGGCACATAGTACGCAGAACTGACGGCCGATGGGGCAGAAAGGTTCTGGAATGGAGGCCGCGTACCGGAAAACGCAGCGTGGGACGTCCACCTACAAGGTGGACCGACGACATCGTAAAGGTAGCAGGGAAGCGCTGGACGCAGGCCGCTACCAATCGATCAACATGGAAAGCATTGGGGGAGGCCTATGTTCAGCAGTGGACGTCCTGTGGATGAAATGATGATGATGATGATGATGAGGGTTTTATGCCTTAAAGGATTTGCTACAATAGATACGGCCTATGGTCAGGTACTGACCAGGTCATTCCATCAGGTCATGACCGAAGACTGCAGAACGCATCCAGTGTGAGAAATCCTTTAACCCATCCACTTTCCTCAAAAGTGACCGAATTTTTAAAAAATAATTAATTAAATAACAGCGTGAACTATAAGCCTAGGTGCAGACCACCTACTTCGGCCGATAGTTGGGCCCGATTTTAATTTGTATGAAGAATCGGCCGATACCAAATCGGTGTAATGTGCGCACTTTCATAAATCTCCATACTGATTTACAGCCCGAACTAACTATAGGCCAACTAAAAGTCGGTAGTCTACGCATAGGTTAAACCGTTATGGACGAAAAAGGATCGCTTTCTTGTTCATGTTACGATATTTTCAAGTTTAAAATTATTTAAGAGATAAGTTTGGAATCTGAAATGCTTAACTCCTAATAATTAATATTAATCGATCTATACTAATTCCAATTTATCAAAATCATTATCACTAATTATTTTCCATTACATAAATCATAATTAATCAAATTATGATTTATTATTAGTTTAAATACCGTCATCATCTTGTGAATTCTAGTGCAAAGAAAAATTTATATCACAATTAATATTTCCTAATAAATTGAATATTTAATTTTTTATCAAAGTCTTTCTGCCTGTATCACTATAACCAGTTTTGAATACAAGCCCTTTGATTAGGTAATGTGTTTGTTTTAAACAGCAAAAAATTAATTTGTTTGCTCGTTGTTATTGGAAAAATAGTTGACCTTAAGTACCTGTTCTCAAGATAAATGGTTGTTTATTTCATTGTATGTATGTTAATAGCCTGTTTATCAAGCTGAGTCCCAGGAGATTATGACGTCAATGTTTTCCTCTTTAAATGTAACATTGTAGCTCTAATTTGGTTATTACAATTATCTTGTATGTTCTGTTATCATTAATTTATACAAATACTAAATTAATGTGATATTACTAGACTAGAATATTATGTTTGTGGCAACGGATACCAGGGTCGACCGTCTCCTTTTACATACTGTTAATTGTGAAAAATATAAAACGTTAAAATAGCGGTATCGTTATAGCTAATGTGATGCTGTCATAGTGACATTGACAATACGTCAATGTCACACGAGAATCAAACGTCAGAATAGAGGGACGCGCGGAGATGACTCCGCGCGCTTTTGTGCTAAGTGATGAATTGTATCTAAAATAAGGCAATATAATGTACAAGATGAGTATCCAGTGTTTTATTTATGAGAATAGATCTACCGGCCTTTAATAGTTCAGAAGTGAGATCTGAAACCTATGATAGTAACGTGATTTCAAAGTGTTCCAGGTGACCAATGTTTCGTGTTATTTGTCACGAATGTTATCACAAAACGCCCACGGTTCTATGATTATAATGGAATATGATGAAGAGAGAATGTCATGGAAACCACGCTGACAACTATGTGAGACGCAGAAAACTATTTAAGTACGAGAAATGATGGACTCGAATGAATAAGATGCTCCTTCCGTAACTTGGCTTGTGGTCACGTAAGTGGTGAACAACTTGNGGGGGGCTCAAAAAATCATGAAATTCGTGTGACGTACTTTATGGATGGCCCCTTAGAGGTTCTGGCACTTTTGGCATATGAAGGCGACAACGTGTACTGGTAGCTGGAAGCGCTCGGGGCGCCATTCTCGCACATGCTGCAGCGGGAGCCAGAGCGCAGGCCCACCGTCAACGAGATCAAGAGATACGCGTGAGTATACTTGGGATATTGTACCTTAACGCACTATCCACAAAGGTTACATTAGCGTATGAGGGCGACAACGTGTACCGGCGCTTCGCGGGTTATTCTCGCACATGCTGCAGCGGGAGTCGGGAGCCCGAGCGCAGGCCCACCGTCAACGAGATCAAGAGACACGCGTAAGTATACTTGGGATATTGTACCTTAACGCACTATCCACAAAGGTTACATTAGCGTATGAGGGCGACAACGTGTACCGGCGCTTCGCGGGTTATTCTCGCACATGCTGCAGCGGGAGCCAGAGCGCAGGCCCACCGTCAACGAGACCAAGAGACACGCGTGAGTATAGTGTCTTTCTAGTCCATAAAGGTTACATTAGAAGCTCTGACGTATGAGGGCGACAACGTGTATCGGTTGCTAGAAGCGATCGGGCGCGGGGAGCTGGCGTTCGGTGCGCTACTCTCGCATAAGAAGCTAGGCCCCAAGATGAGACCGACCTTACTCGCGTATGTGTACTTACGGTTTTGTACCTTAAGACAGTGTCCACAAAGGTTACATTAGCGTATGAGAGCGACAACGTGTACTGGTAGCTAGAAGCGCTCGGCGCGCTACTCTCACACATGCTGAAACTAGACCTGTAGATGAAGTCGACCCTAAACGAAATTAAGAGACACGAGTGAATATACTTGGGTCTCGTACCCTAACATTATCTACAAAGGTTATGTAACCTGAAAGAATAAAAAAGTGGTTCTGTCGTATGAGGGCAACAAGTATACCGGTTCCCTACAACGCACATCGCGTCTGTCACGGTAGTGGCGCAACGACTGCGCTTCTAGAAAATGTATGAAATCTAGTAGTGATGCGGCAAGCGCGGAGTGCAGCGCTTCCTCGCCTCTGATTTTAAGGCGCCCTTGTGCCATAATTTAGCCCATCCACTTTCCTCAGAGATGTCGGAATAATCCACTATAAACCTTGAATCTGAAATGCTAAAATCCTAATAATTAATATTAATCGATCTATACTAATTCCAATTTATCAAAATCATTATCACTAATCAGAACTAATAAATTATTTTCCATTACGTAAATCATAATAATTCAAATTATGATTAATCATTAGTTTAAAATACCATCATCATCTTGTGAATTCGAGTGAAAAGAAAAATAAATTGAATATTTCATTTTTTATCAAAATCTTTGTCTGTATCACTATAACCAGTTTTGAATAGGCAAGCCCTTTGATTAGGCCATTAAAATTTGTTTGTTTTAAACAGCATAAATTAATTTGTTTGCTTGTTGTTATTGGAAAAATAGTTGACCTTAAGTACCTGTTCTCAAGATAAATGGTTGTTTATTTCATTGTATGTATGTTAATAGCCTGTTTATCAAGCTGAGTCCCAGGAGATTATGACGTCAATGTTTTCCTCTTTAAATGTAACATTGTAGATCTAATTTTGTTATTACAATTATCTTGTATGTTCTGTTATCATTAATTTATACAAATACTAAATTAATGTGATATTACTAGACTAGAATATTATGTTTGTGGCAACGGATACCAGGGTCGACCGTCTCCTTTTACATACATAACTGCCTACACTTCAATTTTATTTAGAGCGTTTAGGTACGCGTAATATATTAAACGACCTAGCACATAAATACTAAACAGGTATCGATTTGCGTGATGGAAAATAACTTAAGATTTGCAATTTTACAATTAATATTATCCAGTCGTAGTATTTTTGTCTCACCTTCTAAGTTGAGGCTTCCGTCCAGTGTTCTTAACTCGTTAATTCGCTTCCCGATGTTTCGAGGTTCATTGAATAATGAATCATGTTTTGTTTTTCTAGTTATTTTCCTCAGCTTTATCAGCTGATACATATTTGATGATTGCTTCATTATTAGTTATAACTAAATATATCAAAGTCAAGCACGGATCCAGGTCTCAAAAAATGTCGTGGGCGTATCACAGCCACCCGACCAAGTGCAATCACTTGTCTATTTTTATTTCAACCTATCTCAATGTACCGTGAAAGTACTTTGATGTCACATGTCAAATTAGGTTGTCGTGTTCATAATAGTGGATCGACACCTGGGAGCGTAGTGTAAGTTTAAATCAAACGTATTCGATATCGTCTGCGTCAAAAAATCTATGAAAATTTTAGTTCTTCAAAGTATCCCCTAGGGACGCTGTACAATCCATCATACATTATTTAACGCTCGTATTCGCAAACGATGCTTGCTTAAATGAAGCAGCAAATCGAACGCACAGCGTTGAATAGAGCCCTGTGATTAGTTCGTGTGTCACCCTGTGCGTCGAGGCGCACTGTGAGACCTCATAGTAATGTTTGTGAATACGGGCGTTCATGACNGTTGACCAGTGTAATTGTGGTAGCGTCTGTATGACCATTGGCGTGGCGCTACTGATTGAGGAGCACGCTGAGCTTCTAGATGATATAGATGTACTGTGTGATGATATAGATGTACCGTGTGACGATGATATAGATGTATTGTGTGATGATTTCTCGTTTCAGCAGAACCAAAGGTGGTCAGCGTGTGGTGCGAATGGTGGTGGAGATGGCAGAGTGGATCTAGCCAGGTGCTCAGCTGGATCCCAATACGAGGCGTCAAGTGTGCCATGAGCAGACCTTCGAGGGCGAAGGAATTGCAGGAAGGCCGAACTGTTAATTGTGAAAAATATAAAACGTTAAAATAGCGGTATCGTTATAGCTAATGTGATGCTGTCATAGTGACATTGACAATACGTCAATGTCACACGAGAATCAAACGTCAGAATAGAGGGACGCGCGGAGATGACTCCGCGCGCTTTTGTGCTAAGTGATGAATTGTATCTAAAATAAGGCAATATAATGTACAAGATGAGTATCCAGTGTTTTATTTATGAGAATAGATCTACCGGCCTTTAATAATACATAACTGCCTACACTTCAATTTTATTTAGAGCGTTTAGGTACGCGTAGTATATTAAACGACCTAGCACATAAATGCTAAACAGGTATCGATTTGCGTGATAAAAAATAACTTAAGATTTGCAATTTCACAATTAATATTATCCAGTCGTAGTATTTTTGTCTCACCTTCTAAGTTGAGGCTTCCGTCCAGTGTTCTTAACTCGTTAATTCGCTACCCGATGTTTCGAGGTTCATTGAATAATGAATCATGTTTTGTTTTTTCTAGTTATTTTCCTCAGCTTTATCAGCTGATACATATTTGATGATTGCTTCATTATAACTCAAGGAAACAAAGTCAAGTAGGTACCGATCAAGGGCTCAAAAATGGTTGTGGCTAAGTGCAATAACTTGTCTATTTTTATTTCAACCTATCTATCTCAATATACCGTGAAAGTACCTATGACGTCAATGTCAAATAAGGTTGTCGTGTCCAGAATAGTGGATCGACACCTGTGTGCTTACCATGAGTTTACGTTAGCTTTACTCGCTAGCGACTGAAAAAATCTAAGAAGATTTTAGTTAGGGGCGCTGTACAATTTGTCATTCATTTTAATGTCATTTTTTACGTAGTCGCTAACGAGCACATCTAAAGCCTGGTCCGTGAGCACGTAGAATTTTGTCCAATGACCCCAAGCTACCCATCCTTATCGCTCGCGCGTAATTATATCGCGACTGTGCGACGCGCGCCCGCAGCGAGTGTGCGAGCGCGACAGCAACATAATTACGCGCGAGCGATAAGGATGGGTAGCTTGGGGTCATTGGACAAAATTCTACGTGCTCACGGACCAGGCTTTAACATGAACTCATGGTAAACACACTGATCAAAGATTACATGTATTCGATGTATCCTTCACCTTTTACCTTTGCAGGTGGGTGCAAGCGACGCCGCCGCTAGAAGCCGGCGAGAGGCTGGTGAGCCCGCGTTCGAGACGCTCCGACGAGCTGCACACCTCCACGGTCATCCCCTACCTGGTGGAGCGACACTACGCATCCGCACAGGAGTACTTTACTGAACGAGACTTGAGACACGGTAAGAAGACTTACANTAAGCTCCTCCAAACTATACACGATCAGTACGCAAAATTCGTGTATAGTTTGGAGTCACAGATTTACAAACAGGCACTCCGAAATATACACGAGCAGTTTCCTATGGGTGCGTTCTGGCCATGTATAGAACGGAAAGACGCCGCGTTGCCTATAATTTCACCTACCTGGTGGAGCGACACTACGCCTCCGCGCAGGAGTACTTCACTGAACGAGACTTGAGACACGGTGAGAAAACTTGGGACTAAATCTCAAGGGAAGCTAAGAGCGCATTCACATTTAGACGATTTTAGCAGCGCGACAAACGCGTTGCCTATAATTTCACCTACCTGGTGGAGCGACACTACGCCTCCGCACAGGAGTACTTCACTGAACGAGACTTGAGACACGATAAGAAAACTTACACTAATGCCCGTTTTCACCATCAATCCCTAATTTTTTATTGACCCCGATGTAAACAAAATTCCTGTTATAAGTTACCATAGGGGTCACTTAAAAATAAGGGATTGATGGTAAAAACGGGCATAACTCTCAAGGCAAGCTAATAGCGCATTCACATTTAGGCGATTTTAGCAGTGCGACAGACGTNGCCTCCGCGCAGGAGTACTTCACTGAACGAGACTTGAGACAAGGTAAGAAAACTCCATTTCATCAACAAAGATGCGCCCCACCATTCTTCCGCTAATATTTGAGTGTTATCATTACACGCTAAATTATATCCGTGAGTGCACACTTGACTTACTTGACTTATGGTCCTATGTCCCTTAGATGGGGCAGAGGGCGTCCACAACAGTCCTCCATCGCTTTCGGTCTTGAGCTATGTGTTTGATCTCGCTCCAAGTCTTGCCGATCTTCTTCGCCTCGTCTGCCACAGTGCGCCGCCAAGTTTGCTTGGGGCGACCACGCTTGCGTTTTCCTTGGGGGTTCCAATCCAGAGCCTGCTTGGGGATGAGATCGGGATCCCTTCGGAGAGTGTGGCCAATCCAGTTCCACTTGCGGCGCTTGATCTGCTGGTCGATCGGAATTTCGTGGCAGCGTTCCAATAGCTCGACGGTAGCTTCGACGTGAGTGCACACGCACACTACAATAATGACGCTCGGCTTTCTTGGATTAAACTCCTCGCACTCCGCGCTTCCCTCGACCAAAAATTGGCGGGGCGCGTCTTCGTAGATAATACGATCTATAACTCAAGGCAAGCTAAGAGCGCATTCACATTTAGGCGATTTTAGCAGCGCGACAGACGCNCGACAGACGTGCTGCCGATATCATACTATATGACAGCAGATGCCTTGTCTTCTTCCTCGGCCCTCACTGAGGAGGATCGCTACCACATAATAGTGTTCCTCCACTGCGGTCATAAGTTGTCTGGACAGCAGATGCCTGCCTTCACATTATAAAAACGCCGACGCCGCGTTGCTGTCGCGCTTCTGACGCCTAAATGTGAAAGCGATCTGAAACTAGAGAATCGATTCCATCAAAGCGGAGACAAAAAGGCGCTGGAATTGGACCACTTTCAAACGGTCCACGACTCAAAATTCTGTAAGAAGGTGCTGGATGCAGGACGCTTCCAATCATTGGGGAATATGTTTAGTAGTAGACGTTCTGTAGAGATGATGTGACCAATGCACCACCAAATCGGAGTGGAAACGGGACGTGTAAATAATTACATTGTATTGGTTGTTATAATCTTTTTGTTATTTTTTGCGTCTTCGCTTTGGCGGATAACGGCCCTGACTATCTTAAAATACCTAAAATGAGAAGGTCTCTTACATAATTGACTCTGGAATATTTCCGGGGCTCAGAAAAAATAAAACACAACTGCTTTTACCTTTTGTAAAAGCCTTTTGTAAAAGATAACTGTCATTGTTTTTTGTGCTTCTGACCTCAATAACCTGATGGTAAGGAGCACACTTATTCGTAAATACCTATTCATTTGTGTCTTTTTGGGAACTGCGGATATATTTCTTATCGTTAAACACGACGTCTCTTATTTAATGGAAAGAAATACGCAATGCCTATTGCCTACCTACACCTCTTTTATTTATAGCATTAAAATAGCACGATATAATTCGTTTTTGTACTTCTGCTGGGTATGGAGGCAAGAAATAAAAAATCAAAATTATCTTTATTTGTGTAGACTAAATAAATGAGTACTTACAAATCGTCAAATGCTCTTAAGGAGCCTATACATGTCTTATTCTTTTTTTGCCCTAAGGTACCAGCGCTTCGAGACAAACATTTTGCAATGTCTTACTTTGACTTAAGGTCCTATGTCCCCTAGGTGGGGCAGAGGGCGTCCACAACATTTGTTAATAGAATGTGTAAAAACTTTGTACATAAAAAGGATCGTTTGAGATGAACATTAGATGTTTATCACAATGCTTTTTCGTGATATCTTAATACCTAACTGTATGTTGAAGTTAACTAATGTGTATTATCGGTAATATTTATTTTTTAATAATAATTTTCACTACTTGTATAAAGTGGGTCTCAGATATTTTGTACTTTACAGAATCGGAAGTGGCAAGCGTAGCCGGCAGAGTCCGCGCTAGAATTTGTTCATTGAGTTAGGTTGGTCCCTGCATGCGCGTGATTCATATTTAGTAATTATTATACATATTTATTTATTACCTACTTTTTACATTTAACAATCGAAATACTGCTTCGAGCGCCCTTGAATAAGCACAATGGGTTCGATCATAAATATTGATGCGGTGAAATTGATTAACTCATTCCGCAATGAGTCATTTGTAATGAATAGTCAATACCTTGGTGCTAGAAAAGACAACGCATCTTTAACATTATTAATTGATTGACATTGCACGATTTTGGATAACGTCAAGAAACGTTTCAAGTGGCTCTAATTTATCTTTTTAAAATATGAAACCTGTTAATTTTACTAACGAAATAACAGGCGCGGATCCAGCCCTCAAAAAAGGTTGTGGGCACAGCCACCAAAAATTAGCAAAGTGAGAGTTGGCTTGGAGTTCGAACTCACGCTCGATTTTTTAAAGGCTCATCAGTCAGACGTTTTTATTATCAGCCTATCGATCTTTCAATAGATCATAATTAAAACAAGCAAATTAGGGTTGTGGGCATGCCCACAGTGCCCACAACGGTGGATCCGCGCCTGCGAAATAATGTAATATTAAATGAGTGCTCATTTATCAGCTAATAGAAGTGCACGTACTAATATTAAAAGATAAGAACAATAATTATATTTTTGTAACATACTTACGGATAGGATTCATAAACAGTGATTATAATTACTGAAGAGGTGACCTTTAGCAAACTAGCATAAAGTTATGTTCGCGCCATATTTAAAACAATAAAAGGACATCATCCACGTTTCATATATTTTTGGTCCAAAATCAAAAGTGCCGGCCAACAAAAAAAAGTGCTGTATTCTGACAGAATACGTCTGCCTTAGCATTTGTTACTATGGCACCAAAGCCGTAGCTCCACTGTGCGTCGAGTATTTGAGATCTAAAAGTCATCGACTATGCATACATTTTTTGTTCAAAATCAAAAATGTCGGCCAATAAAAAAAAAGTGCTGTATTCTGACAGAATACGTCCGCCTTAGCATTTGTTACTATGACACCAAAGCTGTAGCACCACTGTGCGTCGTAGTATTTGAGATCAAAGTCAGTCGTTTCATATATTTTTAGAACTCAAATACTACGATGCACAGTGGTGCTACAGCTTTGGTGCCATAGTAATAAATGCTAAGGCGGACGTATTCTATCAGAATACAGCACTTTTATTTTTTGGCCGGCACTTTTGATTTTGGACCAAAATGGATGATGTCCTTTCCTGAAAGACACATATGTTACGGCGTTTAATTCCGTTTAAAAACTAAAGAGTGAATGAACTCACCAGGTCAAAACTGTATAAATATAACAAAACAATGTTCGAATACTTGTAAAATTCTTGTTTCGTGAATATTAAAAAGGCCTTCCTTAACATACTAAATAACTGAAACGAATAGTTGCAAATAATGTGTGTATCACGTGTTCACGTGCGTGCTTAATATTAATTTGGCTAGTTTAATTAGCTTGTCTAGTATTAGCTTGTAATGATATTGCTGCTACACTAACAAAGTAACTTAAGAATTTACCTACATGAAATAATTGCTCCGTAGCAGTTTAAAAGTTTGTAACGTGAATTAACTCTGTAAAAAAAAAACAACAAATGAGAAAACTCAAGTCATTCTTTACATGTTAGTCCAAAGACTGGTGTCTGTCACATACAAAACTTGGTAGCAAAGAGGTTTACCACGTGTTTTCTAAGACTGCTCTTTATTGTTTTTATGTTTGCTACCGATTTTTTTGTGTGACCGTCGCCAGAGTCACTATGCACTCGTGTGTCTCGAAAATGACGCTTACTCGCACCAGGCTATGCTTCGTATCTTTAACGGGAGCGGCACGGGATGTCAAACGTCAGTGAGACTTCAAATGTGTTTCAGGGGGCTTAGTGTGAGTTTTTATCAAACGTATTCAATATCGACTGCGTAAAAAATGACATTAAATGTATGGCGGATTGTACAGCGTCCCTAGCGGACACTTGCAAGAACTAAAATCTTCATAGATTTTTATGACGCACTCGATATCGAATACATTTGATGTAAACAAGGGATGTTATGGATATGTCGTTTCGGTTATGGATACGGTTACGGATATAGGAATTATATTAAACCGGTGTCGGTTACGGATATGAATATTTTTTTATTTCGGATATCCGAAAGTTTCGGTTACGGTTACGGATATCTGTGCTTTAAAATGCAATTTTCAATAGTTGTCCAACACGGTTCATTCATCATGGCCGCACACTACATCAAATAAAAAGTAATAAAAAAAATAAAAATTGATACTAGATGGCATTATAAAGGTAAATCAGGCTGTTATGCCTTTACATATAATGCTATCGTTCGTTCGTTCGTAGTTTCCGTTACGGTGACGGATATCCATAACATCCCTGATGTAAACTCACGCTATGCCCACAGTTCTGTTTGCTTCGTCACGTCAATATGTCAATGCTACCCTTCCGTGCCGCTCCCATACCTCAGGCACTCAGTAAATCTGGACCTACAGTTTATTCATCCCAGAATACTCACTTGTTTTCATTACTTCCAGAGTTAGGCGACGGCGGTTCCCGGACGATGTCAACGGCCGAGTTATCGGACGGCGAGTCGACGCGGCAGAAGCGCCGCTGGCACTCGTCGTGCGGTCGCCTGCCCTCGTGCCGCCTCACGTGATGCGGCGCGCGCCTGCTAAGCTCTATGGCAATGGCTGGGCTGGGTCAACTGACCCGCAAATGTAATACTACGTTATGATACAGGTGTGCTGATTGAGGGCTATCGTTTTAGATCACCAGTCAACGCCACTTTTTATTTTATTTATTTTATTTGGTGCACAAAACAGGGACACAACCACAACATACAAAGCATCTAAAGCAGGTTACACAGCATAACTTGTTGCAGCTCCAACTAACTAACTGTAGAGTATGAGCTCTTTCAAATTAGAGGTTTTGAGACGGACGTTTGTCGTCGTAGGACCGCATACTGAAAATTGTATGACAACTGCGTTGGAATAAAAATGACAGTCAATGAGGGCTATCGTTTTAGCGCTCACCAGTTAGCGCCACTGTAGAGTAAGGTCCTGTCACTTGCTAGTAGCGAAGACAGTGGCACCAACTGGTGAGCGCAAAAGTGGTAGAAGGACTATCGCATTTGCACTCATCAAGATGGCGCCACTGTAGAGTAAGGTCCTGTCAATCGCCAAGGGTGCCAACTGTTAAGTATAAAAACGATAGCCCTCATTACCAACAGAGTGTGCGATGTTGCAAACGGACGTCGAACGTCCGTCTCGAAACGTCTAATTTGAAAAAAGCCCATAAGTAACTTGCTAGTGGCGAAGACAGTGGTGCATTTGCACTCACCAGCCCCCCTAGACAAAACGCACTTTTTGATCGAATCGAAAATCGAATCCGTCAAAACTCCATACAAAAAAGGGGCTTTTCGACCACTTTTGACTGGTTTGCGATTATAATTTGCACTTTGTCTAGACTCACAGGATGGCGCCACTGTAGAAGCGAGTCGTGTCAATCGCCAGTGGTGCCAACTGTTAAGTACAAAAACGATAGCCTTCATTGGTCCGAAATAGCACTGCGGTCAATGCTCAGTGCTCTCACTGTGAAGTGTAGAGCACAGAGCAGTGTTTGCAGTGCAAATCGGGACATACCTATGGTTGGTATACTCGAGTTTGGTTTACAAACGAGAGTATAATAACCAATGAGTTTTATGCGACGTTTTTCAACACACTGGCCAGGTTACATTTGTTAAGATTAAAAAAATAGATTATAAAAACAAAATATATGCATTTACAACGCAAATCCATGGAAAATCAAATAAAAAATATTTTATAAAACGTCCAAGGATTTTATAAAATGTAACCCATTTTTGCATTACAACATTGATTCGGCAGTGATTATATGTAGAAATGGCCTCTTGTGTTGCAAAATTGATTTTCAAATCAGTGCAATAAGAATCACTTTAAAATTAAGTGTGTTGAAAAACAGCATGAACAACAGCGATACGTCATGTTCATTTCTTTTTTTGTGCAATAAAGTAAATAAATTAATACCTACCCCTGTATACTGAATCTAAAAGGATTGCATACTTTTTCTATATAGGTATTTTGCCCCTAACGTTATAAGACACAAATTGGCTTGAACTAAACACAGCGAGATGCCTTATTTCTACGGCTAAATGTGATGAAACCACTGCCACTTCAGCTTGCCAATCCTTTGGGCTATCAATTACTGTTTTTCTATTACAAAATTTCTAATTTTATCCTAAGGAAATCCTGATTCACTTCAGTATACGGGTATTGAATTCAAGGTTCTGTTATAACTTGTGTTAAATAACGTCAATTTGAAATTAAGTAAATTATTTTTTGACATTGTGACCAAAGAGAAATGATGATAAATAAATGTTTATATTAAATTGGCATTATACATCGGGTAAGATAATGGAACCTTAACTTTGGGATTATGTAAAAAATTGGAAAAAGTGAAATGTATAAAACTGTTAATTTTTTTAAAAATAAGTCCATTTAACTTTCGCTTGCTCGTGATAATATGTGAGCGAGAAATAAACATCATATTTTTTTCTATTCCATCATATTATTTTGAAATTGCCATAAAGCTTAAAGAGGCAGGCCATAGACAAAAAATTTCATCCAATTGGACGCTTACGTCAATTCTGTCCTAATTAAAACAATAAAAGGTGGCCCAAGTAACATGTTTGGCCACGCGTCGTGGTTTTATTATGCCACGTACTTTACCTAACGTTAACGACAAGTTTACTTATTCACATGCTTGTAAAAAGCATTGCAATTATCGCCAAACGATTTTTATTAAAGACTAGGCGCAGCAGAAGTTTTTTTTAAATAAACGTTGGATTTTCTATTTAAATTATAGGTTAAAGATTGTACTAGACTAATTAATTCTAACCCCCTCCCCCAGACTTTGGTTTGTAAGTCATTTTATTTGTACTTGTATTATTTTATTTGTACTTGTATTTGAACAACCGTAAAATATGCCAAGTAATATTTCTATTCCATCTTTAATGATTGTGATTTACATATTATAGACATGGCCATAAAACTATAAAATTGAATGATTGATTAAAAAAATCTTGTCAAAATTTAAGACGGTTAGAGTATAAATTGAAGAATTAGATAATTATTTGACGTATATTATGGCTGGTTGTCTATTTACTCTGCGTTTTTAACTAGTTGTTCTGTCACTAAAATATTTCTTCCATAAGTGTTATTTTTTATGGATGAATAGTTCGTGTAAGTTACTTTACAAAAAAAGACTTGATAGAAATATCAAGGGCAAACACGTAATGGGGATAATAGATGGCGCCACTGATACGTGAAGTTGTGTTAAAACTTATAAACGAACTAATCATTCATAATTAATTAATACAAGTTAAATGTTAAAAAAATAAACACCGAACGTAGTTTAAATTCATAATTGTATAACAAATTCTTATGATTTAGTTATATGGTGCACTGATTTTTAGTGGATCTCAAATTGAATGTGACCGTTATATACAATAACATTCTGTAGTTAAGTAATATTTTTGTACCATGAAACAACCGTAAACCACTTGCCTGTATAATACAATGTAGTTAGAAGTTTAATTTGTTTATACATTGGGGTTGATGCTGAGATTGTTACTTCCTTACAACTAAATCATTGTGTCTCCTTTTCTCTAATGTTACACGGTCTCCATTTATTTACTAAACAGAGAAAGAGACACATTGACTTACTTAAGAGGTAGTGAACATCTCAAAATCTGATCCATATCCCGATCAATTTATTGTTAAATGTTTATATTCAATCGGTTAATAATATCTGTTAACTGCTATTAATTTTGTCGTACACCGTAGCAAGGATCATTGCACAGTGTGAACATTTGTTGCAGATTTTGAATGTTTGTTGTTCGTTTAGTCGTTAGATTGATGTAAAGTACAAGTTGCAATGGCGATACTCGAATCCATTGGAAATAGTAAAATGCTGGTAACAATCAACGATCAGCGGAAAGATTATATTTTTCATAAAAAAAAATAGTGCAATTGTCAATATTTCACGGCATCATTGTGTATTTTAATCTCTAATATCCCATCTCAAAGCACGGACCTCACTTTTTATCTTAAATCTTTTTGTATTCGTGTGTATTAGGTAGAATGAATTAAAGTAGATTAATTTGCTGTTTCCGAACTAGCTTCGTTTACGGGATGTTGATATTAGTTACGTTAGGCGGACGCTAATCGACTTAACCAAGGACAATGGATTTTTAGGTGTCGAATTGATGCACCTTAAAACGAAATTACTTTGGTTAAAATTGCTATGATCTTAACAGTATCATTACAATTTTGAACCATAGCATGATAATACCAAGGTGCATTGTATTTACTATGCCTTACCTAGAAATTCCTTGCCGTGTCGTCCTGATAGTAGTAGCACTCCCTTACTACACGCGTCCTTAAGATATTTTTAATTGAGTTTAAGTACTATTTTGTAACAAAAGAAAAATGCAACAACAAAAGAATAAAAAAATAACACGTAATAATAATGTAATGTGTTTGTTTTGTGTGCGTCCTTTGAGCCGGGCTGAAACTCGGCCGATGACATATTCGTGACACTCACATTACGTCGAACCACGTCCTGTAGTGACTTCGTCTTTAATTAGCTTTCTAAAATAGACAAATAATCATGTTGTCCAATATTTTTGTGCTGAAATCGTGTCTTTTCGTTGTGCAATAAATGTCTAGGTTGATGGACGACGTTCTAGTTATTAGATGTTAGGTTAACAGTTCGAATAAGCCATATTGTTAATGAGATTATTGAGCAGATGATCTCCTGTCGCCAAAGGCGTATCTTTTCAAAAAAGTATTTCGTAGTTATAGGTTTCGTCATCCGTTTACTTTGCATTCGTGCTTAAAAAGTGAGGTCTTACATTACTGTTGAACTAAATGTATGTTTACGCTTAATGTTGACGTATGTACAGTACAGTGCCTGCACGATGAAGCTACGTGGAAAACAGAAAAAAAGAGAATATTAATATATTGTAAATAAAAAATTCTAAAGAAATCATCCGGGATTTTATTTATTTCGTTTAGTTAAAGTATATCCACACCTGATTTTGTAGAGCGTTATTTTGCAATGCGCATAGATGACATTATTATTTCTTTATTCAATTTTAATATTATTATTATTATTTTGCTTGCAACCACTTTCGACACTAGTACGTGAGACTATTATGTATCACAAATCATGATTTGGACTTCTCAGAAATCATAAATTATTAGGTACTAGCTTTCCGCCCGCGGCTTCGCGCGCGTGGACTACATTATCTACATATTTTACGGAACCCAATTTTTTTCCAAAATAAAATTTAGCCTATGTTATTCGTGGATAATGTAGCTTTCGAATGGTGAAAGAATTTTTAAAAACGGTCCAGTAGTTTTTGAGCCTATTCATTACAACCAAACAAACAAACAAAAAAAGTTTTCCTTATAATATTAGTGTAGATGTGAAGAAAATTCACGGAATCCTCGGCACGCGAGTATACTCGCACTTGACCGGAATTTATTTCTATTTTAGTTACGCTACGGCCCAAAAAACTACGTAACAAAACAATGAAAAATATAAATTGTTGAGTGGGCAAACGCTTCGTGCGATAGTGATGATTTATTTTCAAATTGGGCGTGTACGTAATTCGGCGTTGGACGGGCATGGTGCGAGTGTCGCAAGTGGCCCGGTTCCCAGCCACAATGCGCGGAAGCCGGCGCGGGCGCCTTCCGCCATATCGGCTGCTGCACCACTCCTTGCAGGGCTGCCCAACACTACAGACTTAATAAACATTTTTAAAATTGCAGTGGTAAAGTCAAAACAGTTTTCCTCGAGATAAAAAGAAAACTCTAGTAGTGTGCGAGGCACGTAGCTCGTAGAGCTGATGACTTTTGGGGCAGAAAAGTTCTCGAGTGGCGACCACTAGGTGGATCGACGATCTGGTGTGAAGTTCGCTGGAAGTACTTGCTTGGATGCGGGCAGCGCAGGACCGATTGT